CTTCATTTGTGTTTACTGGTTGTGTTTGTTTAGCACCTTCAGGGGCTTTGGGCTAAAGGAAAGTCCTGCAAGAGTGTGGGTGTGGAGGGCCCTTTACACACAGGTTCTGTTCAAACAGGACCGGGTGTGGGTTGCCAGTGTCAGCCAGGTGCCCGCCTGGTGTCCCGGGCCAGACACCAGACATTGCCTGTGTGGGCCTCTTTCTTCCTGAGTCCCAGGTCCTGAAGGCCATTCCTGGGATTCAGGCTAGCAGGCCTGCGCCTCCCTGCTTAGACTATCGCTTCCCTCTGCTTCCCATTATCATTGCTGTTCTTAGAGAACGTGTCTCTTATTATTAATTAGCATTGATTCACTGCCTGAAGTCAATACCATCTAACATTCTGTAACTAGAACCTAGAGAAACACACAAGAAACACTTTTTTTTTGGCTGGTCCTGGGATTTGAACTCAGGGCCCGGGCACTGTCCCTGAGATGCTTTCTGCTCAAGGCTAGTCGCTCTACTACCTGAGCCACAGCACCATTTCTGGGTTTTGAGTGGTTAAGTCTCGGAGATGAGTCTCATGGGGACTTTTCTGCCTGGGCTGGCTTTGAACCGTGATTCTTAGATCTCAGCCTCCTGAGTGGGTAGGATTACAGGCGTGAGCCACCGGTGCCAGGCTACAATAAACACTTTTGAGAGCTAGTTTCAAAAACCTTAGTTTTTGAAATCCAGCTCACTGGATACACTAAAACTAAAAGCAGATTCCTTGGGTCTTACTCTCCTGTGAACATGAACACACACGCCTGTACCACTTCCCAGAATTTATGGGTTATAGAGACAGGTTGATAGCTGAGAAAAACTGGCCTATGAATTGTAACCACAATTTTGTGTTTTTACCTCTTGTGAATGTACCCCCTCCCGCTCCCCACCGCCTTTCAGGCCACGCAGCTCTCCATTAGCGAGGCAACAAGTTCTTGATGTGAACACACATCATGGTCTCAGATGGAGGAGACTGGGGATTTGGGCATGAAGCTGGCTGCTTCTTGTATACCTTGTTTGTAGTTCTGCCAAATAACTAAAGACACTAACTCACTGCACTTGCTGTCTCTGCTGACTAAAATGAGCCTTGGGTAGGGTGGACATTGGTATAGTTAGGCGGAGGGACTTCACAAGTCACTGGCTGGAGAAGTAGTTCAGGTTGTTATCTGGGGGTGGCTGTCAGCTCGGGGGTTGCTGATGTGCATGCACTACTCTGGGCCATGTATCAGAATCCTTTTTCTAAAAAAATAAAATAACAAAAATGAGTGGTTGGGTCTGTATTTGTTGCATGCGTGAGAACCACCACAAAGCAGACTTCTCTCCCTTGACACAGCTTCTGAAGACTGCCCCAACCCCTGTGATGCTGCTTGGTGGAGGCCCCTGGATGAAACCGGGGTCCCCTGCCTCTCCACAGAGGCTGCATCCCCAAGTTCCGGGCCTACCGCACCGTTATTCCTGCAGTGATTGAAGGATCCATTTTACACAAGCACGGTGCAACACCCTTTGCTTTCCTCTGCATTTCTCACTGGAAGAAGCTGAGGCTCAAAAAAGTGGAGGAACTTAGGACTTAGTGCAGGTGCTGCACTACCTTTCACACTGAGCTCTGCCCCAGGCCTGGAGTATATTCATCTGACAAAGGGTCAGGTTTGAGGGATTAGCCTGGCAAGGGAGCCAGTCAGTGGGGTGAGGACTGAAGCCCAGGTTTCCAATCCACTTTGCCCTGAGTGGCGAGGAGCATTTGAGCTGGCTGAGACATGGGGACACCTGTGGCCGAGGCTCAGGTACTGGGTTAAGCACAGAGTGACAGGAGTCATGGTGGGAAGAGGTTGGGTACAATGACTGCCTGTGTCTTGGAAAAGCCCACCTCCCAGAATCTACAGATTACTGATGCTCGTCGTGGGCTGGCAGGAAGGCCTAGTGATAACAGATGACTGAATCGTCCCAGCTCCCTCGTTGACAGGTGAAGGGCGGGGGAGTTCCACTGGGATCCAGCCCAGCTCTCTGCACATGCCAGGCACACACTCTTGCCTGCTTTGTGTGGAGACCCCAGGCTTCTAATGTACAACTCTCATGTGTGGATAACTGAAAAGTGCTTGTGATTTTTATTGAGACAGGTAGAATTTGGAAGTTGCCAAGGAAAAGCTGGATGAAGTGAAAATAACTTGGAATCATCAGACAACTGGAATCTGGAGAATTGAACCCAGAGACACAGTCAGGATGTGAGTGGCTATGGCCGGGGCGGCTGTGTGGTAATTGTGAGGGACTGCTGCGGGCTGAGTGGGCCAGCAGGGGAGGGAGGTCTCTATGCCAGTCTGCTTTGCTTGATTCTTTGGTGAACAGCAGAGAAAGACCCTTTTAAAGCTCCGGCAGAGAGGCTTATAACAGTGGAAGGGACCACCCAGGGGAAGTGCTTTCTTCCTGTCAAGGCCTGCCTGCCACATCCGAGGAGGTGGCACTGGTGAAGGTCACAGCCAAGGACACAGGCCCATCAACATCTTTTGCCTTAACCTTAAGGTCCTAGAAAGTACCCCTCCTAAACTGGGCGCTGGTGGCTCACGCCTGTAATCCTAGCTACTTAGGAGGCTGAGAGCTGAGGATCGTGGTTCAAAGCCAGCCCAGGCAGGAAAGACCGTGAGACTCCTATCTCCAATAAACCACCAGAAAACTGGAAGTGGCGCTGTAGCTCAAGTGGTAGCGCGCTCGCCTTGAGCTGAAGAGCTGAGGGACAGCGCCCAGGCCCAGAGTTCACGCCCCACGACCGACAAAAAAAACAAAAACAAAAACAAGAAAGTACCCCTCCTTCATCCGTCACCATCCCAGTGGGGCTTCAAGAAAGTAAGCATGGATCATAGCTAAGACAGCTGCCAGACAGACTGAGGAAGAATGTAGAGAAGCTGGAAGCTAAAGGGAGACAGAAGCAGACACCAGAGGAGTCTGGAGCCTTTGGTGCAACTCCAGCTACAGCAAATATTCAACGCATCTAGTCAGATCAATACAAATCATCACATGAGGTTTACTTACCCCAGTTCCTATTATTCAACACAGCAATACTGCATCACCTTCAACAAGCATGCTAAAGGGCAAGAGAACCCCTCCCCCCAAAAAAGAACCCTAGCACGACTTGCAGTGATGGCAGGAAATTTAGCATGTGTAAATGGCTATAGATATACCCCTAGTGGTAAAAAGCAAACAACATATGAGAACAGGCGGATGTTGAAGCTGATGTAAGAGAACTCTTACGAATCAAAAAGAAATACTGGGAATAATAATAAAGACTGCTATAATGAGCTGAACAGTAAATGCTACGAGCCAAAGAATGTGCTTGAGGAACTCAATGTAAATCTGCCTTCTGAAATCAAAGAAGAAAATGCAAGAATTGTGAGGTGATGTCAAAACATGTTTTAAAAATACATGCAGTTGGCATTCCAACAAGAGAAGGAATGAAGTGGATAAGAACTTCAAGGAGCAAGCTGGGGCACAGCTGCAGAGCCGCCGCTGGGGCGGGCCTGGGCCCACCTTTGCCGGGCCGGGCCTCTTCCTCCCCCTGCTGCCGCCACTGCCTAGGACTCCTCAGGAGCCTCAGGTGTATACTTGCTCTGCCGGGAAGTAGAAGAGTGTGAGTAGCAATGTGGCCACCAAGTTCAAGTGCCACCCCAATGACGACCTTGCTGGCTCTGTGAAAAGTGAAAGGAGAAATCTCTTGGAAGATGATTCTGATGAAGAGGACATTTTTCTAAGGAAACCATCAGGACCAAGATTTGGACCTAGAAATGATAAAATTAAGCATGTGCAGAATAAAGTGGATGAGGTTATTGATGTCATGCAAGAAAACATTGCGAAGGTAATTGAGAGGGGAGGGACTAGATGAACTGCAGGACAAATCAGAAGGCAACTGCTTTTAGCAACACATCGAAAACAACTTCGAAGGCAGGTGTGGTGGCTGCATTAAAAGAAATGACAAGACGCTGGGCGCTGGTGCTCCCGCCTGTCACCCTAGCTACTCAGGGGGCTGAGATCTCAGGATCGGGGTTCAAAGCCAGCCCGGGCAGGAAAGTCTGTGAGAACCTTGTCTCCAAAGAACCACCAGAAAACCGGAAGTGGCGCTGTGGCTCAAGCGGTAGAGCGCTGAGGGACCGCGCCCAGGCCCCGAGTTCAAGCCCCAGGACTGGGGAAAAACAAACCTAAATGACAGCCACCGAACTCGGCCTCTGCATGTTTCCTTCAAGGACTACGAAAGAAGCCGGCCCCCGAACAGGAGAGCGCGGCGGGAGCCCCGGCGCCGGGGACGGCGGGAGGACGGGGCCTGCCAGCGGCGCCGGGGACCGCCGGGACCATCGGGGACCGCCTGGACCATCGGAAACCGCTGGGACCATCGGGGACCGCCGGGAGCCGCCGGGACCATCGGGGACCGCCGGGACCATCGGGGACCATCGGGGACCGCCTGGACCATCGGAAACCGCCGGGACCATCGGGGACCACCGGGGACCGCCGGGACCACCGGGGACCGCCGGGACCGCCGGGGACGGCCGAGACCGCCGGGACCGCCGGGGATCGTCGGGGACCGCCGCGACGGCCGGGGACCGCCGGGACCATCGAGGACCGCCGGGACGGCCGGGGACCGGGCTTCAGCGGACCGGGTCGGTGGCTGAACGCGAGCCAAGGAGAGAAGACGCGCGGCTCTGTCTTCCTTTCGAAGCTAGGAATCTTGGGAGACAGAAGCTGATCTACTGGAGTTTGAGCCGCAAGGCTGAGCTGGCCGCTCGGCGTCCGGGCTTGCTTCCCACCGGGAAGCCGGGTCCATGGCGTCTTCCCGCGGAGGACGCGCGCGGAAACCCGAGCCCTGCGCCGCAGCCAGTCCGCAGGGGAGCCTGCCCGCAGCCCCGCCCACCGCCGCCCGGCCCCGCCCCCTGTCCAGAACTACAAATCCCTAGGTGCCCCGCGGCGCGCCGGGAGGCGTCTCCCGTGATGCCGTGCGGGTGTCGAGACGCGCGAGGGCCGGGGCCGGCGTGAGGTCCGCGGGGCTGTGGCGGCCGCGCTTCCCGCCGGAGGCCGCGGGCCGCCCCCACCGCCACCATGCCCATGAAGGGCCGCTTCCCCATCCGCCGCACCCTGCAGTACTTGGGCCAGGGAAGCGTGGTGTTCAAGGAGGCAGTGAAGGTCATGACGGTGAACTACAACACGCAGGGGGAGCGCAGCGAGGGCGCCAGGTCAGTGGGGGCCCGGGCCCCGTCGTGCGCACCGCGCAGCGGGCCGGGGCGGCCGGGCCTCCGCCGGGAGGCGGCCGGGCCCCCCCCCCCCCGCCGCCGCGCCGCCGCCGCCCCCGCCGCCGCCCCCCCCCCGCCGCCCCCCCCCCCCCCCCCGCCGCCCGCCCGGGCTGGCCTCCAACCCCAGGCCTCCGGCCTCAGCCCCCGCGCAGCCAGCATGGCCGGCGTGAGCCCCCGCGCCCGTTCACCCAGCTTCTGACCCCCGCGTCCGGGATCCCCGCGGGGCCGGCCCCCGGCCTGGCCACGCTCACGCCTTGGTTTGGGGCTCATGGCCGCGGGTTCCGGACCTGATCGCGGGCACGGGGACGTCGGTGGGGAAGCTCCTGAGGCCCGGGGAAGCTGAGCGCCCGAGGCCCCCGGTTCGAAGCCAGCCCGGGAAGGAAGATTCTTACCTCCAATAAACCACCAGAAAGCCGGCAGTGGCGCTGTGGCTCAAGTGTTAGCGCGCTCGCCTTGAGCACAGGGACAGCTGTCCCAGGGACAAACCCCACAACCGACCAAAAAATAACCATCCTGGGGCAGCTTCACTTCTTCACCAGAAGAAAAGTCTGGTTTGGAGTTCGTGCTTTGAGGCTGCTGACCAGGTTCTGGCGAGACCCTGCCTGGCCGCCGTCGGCTCAAAGCACCCGCTGGACCTGCTCTTCTTCCCTGGATGTCAGAATTTGACTTTCTCTCTTCAGTATGAAATATTCCCAGTCCCTAGCCCTGTTCTCTACTGCCTTTCCTATTCTTCCTTCAGCAATCTTGCCACCAGACCTTCACTAGCTCTGTCCTGTGCTCTTCGCATGTGAAGGAAGCACTTTGAGGGTTTCACACTGTTGTAGCCATCTTTTCTTTGCGTGGTTTAAGTTGTTCTTTTTCTTTAATATTGTTGCTTAAAATTCCTGTTCCGCGTTCGTGTGCAGATGCTTTTGGTGCTGTCATAAAGGCTCCATGTTTCCTCCTGTTGGGTGCTGGCTCTGTTTTGTTCCTTTGTCACAGGGTCCATGCTTTGGAGGAGTTTGCAAATTCACGCTGTGTTTCTGGCCTTTTTCTCTGATAAGTTCCCTTCCTCATCACTCTTTCTGATTTTTTTAACTGTTAAGCCTTTTTCTTGGAATCAGTTGCTTTAGTAGGCATCTTGTTTACTGAGTGATTCTTAAAGCTTCCTAAGTTATGCTCACAGTAATGTGAACTGGTAGTAGGTAGCAATGGTTGTTTTTTGAGACAGAGTCTCACTCTGGAGCCCAGGTTGGCCTTGAAGTTGAGATCCTTCTGTTCCTACCTTTAGAGTCCTGGTACGGCTTGGCAGATTTTTAGCTTTGCTTTTGGCAAGTTTTGCCATGCAAAGATTTTTTTTTTGGTCCGGTCATGGGGCCTGAACTCTGGGCCTGGGCGCTGTCCCTCAGCTCTTCAGCTCAAGGCTAGTGCTCTACCACTTGAGCCATAGCACCACTTCCGGCTTTTTTCTTTTTGCTTATGTGGTGCTGGGGAATCGAACCCAGGGCCTCAGGCATGCAAGGCAAGCGCTTTACCACTGAGCCACCTTCCCAGCCCCCGCAAAGATTTTTAGTATGTTTAAGGTTATCTCTATTTAAAACATTTTAAGCCAGATGCCAATGGCTCACGTCTGTCATTCTAACAACTCAGGAGGCTGAGATCTGGCGGTTCAAAGCCAGCCCGGGCAGGAAAGTCCATGAGACTCAGACTCTTATTTCCAATAAACCACCAGAAAACTGGAAGTGGCGCTGTGGCTCAAGTGGTAGAGCGCTTTCCTTGAGCTGAAGAGCTGAGGGACAGTGTCCAGGCCAAGTTCAAGCCTCACAACTGACAAAAAACAAAAGCCCCCGACATTTTAAGTTTAAAGGTTTTCTTCCACATCCGGGTTATGACAATATCCCCCTTTAGCAGTCATGGCTGCACTGCGGGCTGAACCCAGGGCCTAACAGCTGCTAGGCAGGTGCTCTGCCAATTGAACCACACCTTTAACCCTTTTGTCTATATTTTTTGAAACAGGTTCTTGGTTAACTTTGCCCTTGAAGCACAACCCTCCTGCCTTTGCCACTCGGGTAGCGGAAATTAGAGGTGTGCAGTAGACTGCCTCCCCTTAAATAATTGTGCTCGGGGTTGAACTCAGGTCTCATGTTTGCTATATAGGCACTCTACCAATTGAGCTATGCTTTTTTGGAAGATCAGAGTCTTTTTTGCATGGACTGGCTTCAAACCTGGATCCTCAGATCTCAGCTACCTCAGTTGCTGGGATTACAGGCGTGAGCCACCTCTTCCTGCCTGCTCCCAGATGGCTTATTTTTGCTAAGCAGTGCACACCTGTAGGACACACTTGTGTTCACAGACAGGTGTGGAGCCTTCTGTGGTTTCAATTTTACCTTTGTGCCAGTGAGTTTCCGTGCTGTGCAGGTGGGGCACAGATTTCCTTCAGGTCGGGGCCGTGTTGGGAGGATTCCTGATCTCTCTCTATTTTTCACCTCATTCTTGGGTCTTTCTGTGAATCTGATGCAAACTATGGACTTTCTTTGCAGCACGATACATGTGCACATGAAATGTTATGTTAGGGTCAAAATTCTTTCATAGGTGTCATTTCTTCCTTTTTTCCGCAGGAAATTTGTGTTTTTCAACATCCCTCAGATCCAGTATAAGAACCCCTGGGTGCAGATCATGATGTTTAAGAACATGACACCCACGCCCTTCCTGCGGTTCTATCTAGGTGAGTGCGGTGCCTCTGTGTCAGCTGTGGGTGGAGGGACTGCATCCGCCCTCCTGCTGCTCTCCACTCCTGCGCTACACGTGGTGGCTGCTGAGACTTTTCCTCCTGCAGCCTTGTCTCTGGTTGTTCCTAGCATTTGCACTGGCCCATTTCCCAGATTCCTGTCTGAGCCCTGTGGGGCTGCCTTTGCTCATTCAAGTCTCTGCTTAGCGATTTAAAAGATCTCAAAAGGTGTGGGGGTATAGCTCAGTGGTGATGTGGGCATTGTGCAGGAGGCTCCAGGATCACAAGAACAGAAGCAGAGGATCGGAGGCGTGGCTCAGGAGGTAGAGCACTAGCCAGTGAGCAAAAGCATCAGATACAAGTTTAAGTCCAGGTTTTGGACAAATGAAAGAAAAAAAGATCAAAGGGAAACACCCTTCAGCGTGGGATTAGTGCCATTTCTTCCAGGAAGTCTTCCTGCGTTCTGGTTGAGCCTGGGCTGCCCGTGCGCCTCAGCCCCATGTGCTCCCTCCATGCTGCGCATGGCCTCACAGCTGCTGGGACTTCTTCCAGTTCAGTTCACCCTGGTGCAGGAAATCAGTAACCCAGATGGTGACACCTCTTTTCTCTGTTCACCTGCCTTCTGGGGGTGGAGACCGTAGTTTGGGAAGTGTGCAGGAGCCACACAGGCAAACACATCTGCCCTGTGGACACTGGTGCCCACAGGAGACTGCAGGCAAGACAACCAGCCAGAGGCGGGAGAAGATGAGTCCTGCGCGTGTAGACCATGGCCCTGGGCGAGAGAGGGTGCTCATGGACGGTTGTGGGTCTTTGCTTGGACTGTGTGCATTGTGTGTGCGTGATGACTGGATGGAACCATGCCTGAGCATGCGACACAAGTGCTCTGCTGCTGAGCCAGGCAGCGGTGCGAGACGGATGAGGCGAGCCCCCAGCCTGTGCCATTTCTTCCAGGGAGGACATCAGGGCTTCTGCGGCTCCCGGAGGTCGTTGGTGTTACCTGGGTTCAGCCCACTCCCCCTTTCCAGAGGCAGTTCACTGTGATTTCTTTCACCGTAGACGTCACCATGGAATAGCACTTCACTTAAATGCGAGCTGCGCACCACTTAAATGCGAGCACTTCACTTAAATGCGAGCCGCGGGAGAGCTGCTCTTTCAGCATGTACAGGGTCTAGGCTCCATCCCAGCCAAAAAAGGTTAAGCTAGGTGCTGGTGGCTTGTGTTTGTAATTCCAGTCACTCAGGAGGCTGAGGTCTGAGGATTACAGTTTGAAGTCTGTCCATGAGACTCATCTCCAATTAACCACCGCCAAAAAGCCAAAGATACTGCCCTAATACACACACACATAGTCACTCACACTAAAAGCTATTCCTTTGCTTTTGTATGTCCTTGGTTTTGTTTTTTTGTTTTGTTTTTGGTGCAGGTCCTGGGGCTTCAACTTAGGGCCTGGACACTGTCCGAGTTTCATTTTGCTCAAGGTTAGTGCTCTGATTTGAGTCACAGAACCACTTCTAGGTTTTTCTTAGTAGTTCTTTGGAAATGAGTCACAGACATGGGGCTGGGAAGGTGGCTCAGTGGTAGAGCGCTTGCCTTGCATGCATGAGGCCCTTGGTTCCATTCCTCAACACCACATAAGCAGAAAAAGCTGGAAGTGGCGCTGCCTTGAGCTGAAGAGCTGAGGGACAGCGCCCAGGCCCAGAGTTCAGGCTCACGACCAACTCCCCTCCCTCCCCCAAAGGGGGGGGTCACAGACTCTCCTGCCTGGGCTGACTTCAAACTGCAATCCTCAGATGTCAGCCTCCTGAGTAGCTAGGATTACAGCGGTGAGCCACCAGTGTCCAACCTCTTCTTGAGTTCTTTACCTGTGGTATTCTAGATGCAGCTGCTTTGTCAGGGAGTGTACATGTGGTGACTTCTCTCAGTCTGTGTGGCTTTTTTTTTTTTTTGTCAGTCGTGGGACTTGAGCTCTGGGCCTTGGCGCTGTCCCTGTGCTATTCAGCTCAAGGCAAGCACTCTACCGCTTGAGCCACAGCGCCACTTCCGGTTTTCTAGTGCTTTATTGTAGATAAGAGTCTCATGGATGTTCCTGCCTGGGCTGGCTTTGAATCTCGATCCTCAGATCTTAGCCTCCTGAGTAGCTAGGATTACAGGTATGAGCCACCGGCGCCTGGCATGGCTTCTTTTTTGTAGTGGTGCTAGGGATTGATCTCTGAGCCTCCCTTAGCTTTCCTGCTCACAGCTGGAGCTCTGCCACTTGAGTCACACATCCAGTACAGCATTTTAATGGCTAATTGGACATCAGAATTGCATGGACTTTCCTGATTGGGTTGGCTTCCTCTGGCCCGGAATTCTCAATCCTGACTTCTCAGTGCTGGGATTACAGGCAGGCATGCACACACCCACATCCTTCCTCCTCCCACCTTCCCCCAACAACAACAAAACAACCACACACCATGCTAGGCAGTCAGCAGTCCCAACCTCGAGGAAAAATGTGCTTTGGGTTCTCAGCTCCTTTGTGCTTCTTGTTTCCAGATTCCGGGGAGCAGGTCCTGGTGGACGTGGAGACCAAGAGTAACAAGGAGATCATGGAGCACATCAGGAAGATCCTGGGGAAGAGCGAGTGAGTTGATGAGGCTGGCCGGAGGGGGGGCTGTGCCAGGGAGGTGCAGACAGAGCTCTTCCACCTCCGGGCAGTGATCAGAGCTGTGCCAGCAGGGTCAGTTCCGGCTCACCCAAGCTCCCGTGGTGGGCGAGGCCAGCTCTGCCCTAAGACACTGCTGGGGGAAGCGGGATGAGGACTGCAAGCTCAGCTGCTGCCAGATGCTGGCCTGCTGTCAGCAGGGAAGCCCAGAAGCCGCGCTCCATCTTCCTTTCCCTGTAGGGCTGCAGGCCCTGCCCATGGGCTGCAGGAAGGCTCATGCTCAGCCTTGAGCATGTGCAGACTGTGGTCAGGACTGCAGCAAGCTTGTGCTTCCTCTTTCCCCTTTCCCCTCAAGTGCAGAGGCCTCCCTGGCTCACTCCCTTGGAAGAGGCGAGAAGGCAAGAAATACAGAACTGGCTTAGGGAGATGGACCCCAGCCCTATGCCATGTTGTTGTACCTTCCTGAGGCCTGTGCTTTTTGGCAGGGAAACGCTCAGGCAAGAAGAGCTGGAGAAGCAGCAGCGATCTCATCCGGCCAACTTCGGCCCCCCGAAGTACTGCCTGCGGAAGTGCATGTGCCAAGTGGAAGGGCAGGTGCCTTGCCCCAGCCTGGTACCCTTGCCCAAGGAGATGACAGGGAAGTACAAAGCTTCATTGAGAGCCAGTGCCCAGGATTAAAACCCCAAACTGCAAATGGGCTGGGACAGTGCATCTGCCCAGTGCGGAGGTAGAGTTGGTTACTGTGGCCCTGAAGATGCTGGCAGGCCCTTGCAGAGGCCCCTCCAGTAAAGGATACGGGAGAGAGAGGTGTGGCCATCAATAAAAGGCTTCTCTTCCCAGCTCGCTGGATCTGGTCCTGTTCAGGGTTCGGCTGGGGAGGGGCCAAGGCACAGCAGCTGACTGGCCTAGTCCTGCAATCTGCTTGTGGTCTCCACCGGCTTTGTCTTCCTCTGTCCTTTTGGGTGTTTTTAGTAATGCAAGGCAACCTCGTGCGCAGTGCCCACCTTTTCAGATGAAGCCCTGGCCCTTGATTGCTGAGGCTGTGGCCACACATCAGAGTGGAGAGACCGCCACAGACGAGCCAGCCCTGCCCAGCAGGTGCAGGAGGTTTGGGGCCCTGCTTGCCGGTGCTATCTCTGCTCCTGGGCCTGTTGAAAAGTCCCGGGAAGGAGCCCAGAGGGTGAGGGGCCTTTCTCAGCTGTTGCTGCCTGTTCAGTTAGGCGGACCTGAGCCCACCTGGGTAGCGCCTGCCACGGACTGCTGGCAGCCTGGACAGGTGGGACTGAACAGGTTGGCTAGTTCTTCTGCCCAGGCCCTTTCCTGGCTCCTCTGCACAGTATCTGCCCCAGAAAAGGCGGCCGTGGGCAGCTCTGTGCAACACTGCTCTTTAAATTGCGTGAGTGGGATCTTATGTGTAATGTGTGCGGTCTGGTTTGGGGTGATTGTTACCAGACTTAGTTTAGGTGATGGCTCCTGGTGTGTTAGAGGAGACAGGCACGTGCTCGGTGGAACTGGAATTTGGCACCTTACCCCTCTGCCCTTTGGAGGAGGGTAGGTGGACAATTCCTCAGCCCCCAACCCCCTGAGCAGGGGCGTGGCTTGGTCTTGGCTCTGGGGCTCTAGTGTCCCTCCTGGCCTTTCTTCCTTGGCTGACAGGTTGTAACCAGGTACTAAACCAAAGCATTGAGCCAGAGGCCAGTCGGCTTGGTTTCAGACTGTGGTGTGAAACAGGCTTGGGGGTGCCCGCAGGAGCCCGGTGTCTGTGATGAGGGTAGTGAGGCTGCAGGAGGCTGGCCAGGATTTCCACATGAGTAGACAGGCCGACTCGACAATCTTCTAGGTCATTGTCCTTGTTTTGCTCAGCAGTGATGAGAGGAGGAATCTAGAAGAGATTCTGCAACGTGACACACCTAAGTTAACTTGTGTTTTGCCAAATGTTTTTGCCCTTACTTCTCTAAAGGGTCCAATTTTGTTTTCATCTGAGGTGCTACCTGGCAGTGCCATTTAAAGATACTGAGCCAGCTCTGTTGTGACTTCAAGAATCCTCCCTGTAAAAGGAGCAGTCACGGGGCAGTGTGCAGCCCTGACCACAGATGCCCTCAGAGGAGGAGTTTGCTGTTGTGGAGGCTGAGGCTTGACCTGGGACTTGTCTCTGACTCTCTGCTCTAAGACTAGCACTCTGCCACTTGAGCCACAGGTCTACTTCCAATTTTTTTTTTTTTTGGGGGGGGGGGGCATGGCCATGGGGGCCTGAACTCTGGGCCCGGGTGCTGTCCCTCAGCTCTTCAGCTCTGCTTATGTGGTGTTGAGGAATGGAACCCAGGGCCTTCCCAGCCCCATTTCCAGCTTTTTTTTTGTTTGGTTTTTTTTTGGTAGGTAGAGCTAAGAGTCTCACAGACTTTCTTACCCAGGCTGGCTTCAGTGATCCTCGGCTTTCAGCTTCCTGAGTACTTATCTGGGATTACTGGTAGACAGTGGAGGCTCAGCAGCCCACTGCTCTGCTCTAGAAAGGTCTGTGCGGCACCCTTAACCTTCACACTAACTTGCTCCCTGTGGATGGACGCGGAGATGGTCACTGACGAGTCCAATGCACAGAAACCACTTTGGTGGAGAACCCGCTGGAGGGCGCATGCGGCACGGTGGACTGTCGTGAGGAAAGATGCTGGGTCACGCTTTAGTCTTTAATACACTTTTAATAGTACAAACCTCATGTAGGTAGTAGTAAGCCACAACAGTAATGCCACAACAAAACAGCATTTAATAAAATGCATAAAGCTAATAATCATGCACTGCAGTACTCTATATACAAACACAACAATGCAAATTTCTCTTCAAGACTGAAGACACTGATTAGATATAAAACTCAGTTTAAAAAGAACATGCTAGTTTTTAAATGCCATCACATAACAAAGCTGATTTCACATGGGGCGGAAAGCTGTGTGAAGCTACAGCTTTCGGCAGGTTTTGAACCTGGAATTAAAAGAGATAATGGCATAAATGATAGTTCTATATTATGAAGGGCAGAAAAATCTCACACCCGGATTTTCCTTTAATAGACATTTTTTTAAAGGGCTGTTAATACAGACAGAAATCCAGACTAGAGGTAAAAACTACAGTTGATGCTATGAAAAATGTACAGCTCTTCGGTTATAAAACTAGTTGAACACTGATTTACAAGGTAATTGGGAAAACGGAGAGTGTAGAAAAATATTCCAGCACTTAGTTGTAGGTGGAGCAGCATCTCGGGTCCATGCCTGCTCAGGCGCCACAGTGACACTGACGTACTTCTCTAAGGAAAAGCTCTTTCTCTGTGAAGTCTATCACCTCCGGATGTTATCCAAACCTTAACACACAGTCAGAGTCGATTGGTAAATATCACTGAGTATTTTTTATATGTTGCATGTATAAAAGACACCAAATTCACTGGCTTCCTGACTGATAGCATAGAGGGATATTTTAAAAATGCCTGTCTTCCTTTGGTGCTGGGTGTGGAACATGGGGCCTCATCCTTGCCGGGCAGCTGTTGTGCTACAGGAACTACTTCCAGCTTGGTCTTTGCTTGGTTTTTAAGACTGGGTCTCAGCATTCTGCCCAGGACCATGATCTGCTATTTGAGGCTTCCCATAATTGCTGGGATGTCAGGTGTTACGCAGGGCCCAGCTTCCCTCTGTGGAGATGAGTATCTCTGACTGGCCCAGATCCACGATCCTCCCAATCTCAGTCTCCAAAATAGCCAGGATGACAGGTGTGAGCTACTAGCGCCTAACTGCTCTGGTAATTTTTTTTATAGGCTCTTGTTTCTTTGTCTGGGTTGGACTGTGATCCTGATTTATGTTTCCTGCTATAGCTAAGGTGACAGATACACATCCAGCCAGAAATACCTGACATCTGTATTCCCCCAATTATTTCTTAAGCTTATGTCTGAATTATTCTTATGTCATTATTCAAAGACATATCTCAAAAGAAATTTAGATGCATGAGACTGTTAATCTTGCACGTGTGTTTTAACTGGAAAGCCACTGTCAGTAGTGTGATTGTCACAGGCAGGGTCTGACAATCACAAGAAGGTAAGGCCAGGGGTACAGCAGACACAAAGCTGGAGGCTGAGTGGCCCATGCTTATTATAGCAAGAAAAAGCAGCCTGCACATGATGTTAAGTTTTGCCATTATCCAGGGCTTCTTTTAGCCCTGTTCCCAAGTCTCGGCCCTGTCTGAGCCTAAATCCCTAGCACGGGGATTTAGATCTGGTAGATAAGGACATTTTGGCACCTGTAGTTTTAAGGGCATATCCACATTAAAATGCAGTTTTCATGTAAAAAATTTGCATCATAATTTACATTAGACAGTTTAGTGGATTTCAGTTACATACTTTCAGAAAGGAGTAACTTAAGAGTTGTAGCTTTTATGCCACCAAGGTTAGCCACGGGCACTCAAACTTGATTACTGGAAGGATACCTGTTTTTACTGCTGTTAGATGGGAAGTCTATGTGGTCACAAGACAGTGCAGAGTCTTGCTGACTAAGCAGAGCAAGCATGGAGACTGCTGGGAACCGACCCCACTGACCTGGGCCTGTCTAGCTCCAGACCATACAAAGAGTTCACAGAATTGGAGAAGGCAGGCAGTGCTAGCCACTAGCTTCCTTTAGTTACCCCTTAAACTGATGCATGAAAAAGATGGAATTAACTTTGAGGTAGGCCAGCTTTCTGGCCCCGTGATCCAAGAGAACAGAGAACTGCCCTCCTCTGAGAGTTTGCTTGTCCAGGAGTCTGACTGCCCACTGCTAGACGTGCTTGTCTCCCCTTGTCAGACCTCAGCATCCATTTCTATTAGCAATGCTACCCATAAACATCCTCAACGTACATGAAGTTTGGATACGTGGCTACACGGCTGTATATATAATATACACCTATGTACATACTATATACACTGTACAGAAGATATAAACACATGTACATTCATTCAGTCATCCAGCCTGGAACTCTGGACATGCGGCAATGCTGCTGTAGGGACCAGGTCTGTGCACACGAAGCGCACACTGGTGGGAGGCACATAATGAGAAGGCCCAACCCTGTGTACAAGAGACCTGACCCCCCACCCCTCACAAACCTGTGTACAAGAGACCTGACCCCCCACCCCTCACAAACCTGTGTACAAGAGACCTGACCCCCCCACATCTCTCTCACAAAGAGGTTGTCTTTAAAAAAAAAACAAAACTGAGACATCAAATTGAAGACATTTTTGAAGCCCCTGTAATCGAGACTGGAGGCTGGGCAAAGGGAGGACTGCAGCGGAGTGTCCTCAGCCAAGGACAGGGGCTGCTTCCTTCCTTCCTTTCTCCAGGGAACACTGGGCTGCAGCACATGGTCTGGACTTCGGGCGTTTCAGTGCCGCTCCTCCATTGCACACAAAAGCGTCTGCTGTGGGAAGTCAGCAAGCGGCGCACGCACCCTACTGAGCAGCTCCAGGTGCAGATACTGAGCTGCTGAAGGACCAGGAGCAACATGGCCTACAGAAGTGCAACACAGAAAAAGCACACTCCAGCACACCCTGCGTCTCAGGCTACTGTGGTTCCCTAACAGCCTAAGTGAGTGAACTATGGAAACTGCAACTCCACTTGGGAGCCAAGGCATCCACTCTTGCCACCCTGGCTGCTGCCCTGACAAGCTAGAAACCACTCCTAAAGCAAACAGCACACGAGCACAGCACCCAGACAATATTAAAACCAAAACAATAAAAGAACTGCCAGCTATGAGCAGATGGCAGAGGTTAAACAATCAATAATGCAACTCCTCCAATACACAACAAACTTCAAATTGGGGAGATGGTGGCGTCTTCAGAAACCTCCAGAATAGTACGACTCCTAGTGTTGTCTAAGTCATATGGTCTTGCCCTCTTTACAACCTCCCCCATTTCCACACACAGCTGTCCTAACCCAACGTGACTGGGGATACATCCAGAAAAGAGCACACTTGCCTAGACAGTGAGTGCGTCTCAGCCATGTCCACACTACGAGGAGCAGCTGGGCCCCCAGGCAAAGCCGCTCGGAGTTGGGTGGGAGGGACAAGTCTCAGTTCAGGTGGAAGTTTCACAAGCTATGAGCAAGGGGAAAGGCCTATGAAGGCAGCCCAAATAGGGTTGAGAGCTAAGTTATTCTTGGCTTTGGCTTAAACTGCTCTGACGAGAGATGGAAAGGACCTTTGCTCAAAGCCTGGACGTGACTTCCAGCAGCAAGAAGTGGGGTAATATTCACGTGACCCTTCAAGGAAAGGCCCCTGTGAAGTAAGGCCAAGAAGAGCTAGGGAGCAGATCTCTCAGAGGACCCCAGAGCAGGCCGTGGCCAGCCAGGGGACTGGAGCCGGACCAGGATGGAAATCAACTGAGCAAATGGAGCTTTCTTCCTCACCACATCTTCAATCCAGCCCGAGTCTACACAGCCTGGTGGCACAGGATGCCAGGCCCGGCCGCAAGAATGAGGGTTGATGCGTTCATACCCCAAAATCAAACTGAAAAGCAGACCACACCTATCTACTCAAGTCCTTCACGAGCAGAGATGAAAGAGGTCTGTGCTAACTGCCTGGATATGCTGCTCATCTTAATTGTGAAATTCACACCACGTTAGGGTTAGAGAAGTAAAAAATAAACTGGGAATTAAATCCTTTCCATCACTTTACGATAGTTCCTGTGCTCCAGCGTGAGCTTGGGAGGCATGGTCTGCGAGTGGAGTGGGTTAAACACAGGATCAACAGGAGGAGCTGCCTGCAGCGCAGGGCGCGGCGCGGCGCAGCACAGGGTGGCGTGTCCTGACAGCTTGGCATCACCCCGCTGGATTCAGCACACACCAACAACCTCGCGCCAGGTTTTCTTGATCTTGCCTAAACAGGAAGCAATATGAAGCGCCTTGCCCAACCTCGGGCATCTGTCCCACTTTTCTCACGGACAGCCTTGCTGCTGACTCCCATCTCAGTTACACGTAACTTCCTTGTAACCAAAAGTTACTATTTCATAAAGTCTGGCAGCTGTAATCTGTGAGGGAAATACCCTGGGGATGGGTGCTCCCCCTCTCTCCCCACTAGTGGGGATGGAGCCTAAGGCCTCACGTGCTAGCCAAGTGCTCTGCCGCTGCGCTGCGCAGCACCCAGGGCTGCCCCACTCCTACTTAAGGTCTCACCAAGTTGCTCAGGCTGTCCTTGGATTTTTCAATCCTGTCTGGCTCCGGAATGTAGGGGTTATAGGCTTGTACTGCACGCCTGGCCTCAAGGTTGCTTTTGGAAGAGTGGTCATCCTGCTTCTACACCCGTTATTTAAAACACTCTGGGGTGCTTTGTTGGTGTGGCACACACCTGGAGAAGCAAAGTGCTCAGCATGCCAGGACACTCAACAGCTAGCCAGTAGAGGTGGCAAGTCTGCGGACACTGAAAACCCTAATATTTACAATCAAGAGAGAACCTGTCCTGCTGACATCTTCCATTCAGCTGCACTAGACCTGAACAGAGAGGCCCGTCCAGATGCCAGTCTGGCCAGACAGAACGCTGTCCAGGGACCGTGCGGACAGGCTGACTGCTGGGCAGCATGCAGCCACACAGGTCGCATCGAGGAAGTGCTGGCAAGGGTTCAGAATGCTCACTTTGTACTCAGGGTCAAAAGGCTCCAGCTGCCACGAGAGGCGGAGGGGACCTGGGAGGTGCTTTCAGTCCCTGTGTCTGACAGCTACAATCTAATTCTGTAAAAACAGTTATCACAAGAGAACCCAAGGTCCACAGGAGTCTGCAGACCCCACCATGGACCAGAGCCGGCGGGCCCTGGCCCCCTGTCAGGCAGCTCCTGACTAGGGTCACGCACTAGGGCCACCGCTCCCACTCGGGGACAGTGTCTGTCAGCCTCGTTCTGTTCATGGGAATTGAATGCAACACCACCAGGGGGCCTCCTCTTCCCGACACGGTGATTGTCTCCTGACCCCTAGTAATTTTCACAGAAATTATCAGCATTTCAGCAAAAGACATATAATTTTCCATTTGCCCTGCCCACAGGCAAGATGTTGCTAACAGTACAAAATCTGGTAAGAAGTGCTTAGAAAGTGCTAATATTATTATTATTACCCTGGTAATTAGTAGCTATTAATTCCAAGGAAAAAATTTAAATATATTTACACACATACTGTTCTCTTAGGTTCTTTTAGTTTGCTTTAATACTAGTCTCTAATATTATAAAACCTCACTTTTGTTTTTGCCCTTTGAGAATTTCTAAATACAAATTGAGTTAAAAGATTGTTCCAAAATCTGCTTCATCAAAAGGCATTAAAACATTGCTTGTGGCCGGAAAGGACCCTACTAGTCTCTTAGTCGCTATTGTCTCCGACGGACGGGTGAGGGGCAGCAAGGCAGGAAGGCGAACACCCTGGAAGTATTTGCACATACCAAGATAGGCCTACTGTACTCCCCTGTGTCTGCACGGTCTTGGCAGGGCTCTTGCCTGGGCAGCAGTGTGATGGGCACTATAGGCTGGCTCCGGTGATCTGGCCATTATACTCTGCTGTCTCCATCTTGAGGATGTATGGGATTATGCTGTCTATTGAAACGTTGCCAATGAGACCGGTAAAGAAAAGCTCTTCTGTTATGTTGGAGCTCATGAGCCTGAGTGCTGGTAGGCGGACGAGAATCCGGGCCAAGCTGGAAGAAGGAAGAGCATTAGAAAACTGGAGCGGCTGCTTCCAGCCGTGGCACACTTGGGTTCTGGGAACCGGGTCTGAACTGCACAGAACGGACACAAACAACATCTACCCTTGTTCTTGGTTTTCTGATTTCAACAGTTCTTCCCAACCTCGCACAAAGATGGATGTACAAATGTATTCTCCTCAGTTTGTGTACTTTCTCCATCCCATCCACAAAAAAAAAAAAAGAAAGGAAAAAGGGCTGGGAAGGTGGCTCCGTGGTAGAGCGCTGGTCTTGCATGCATGAAGCCCTGGTTTTGATTTCTCAGTACCGCATAAGCAGAAAAAGCCAGAAGTGGCGCTGTGGCTCAAGTGGTAGAGTGCTAGCCTTGAGCTGAAGAGCTGAGGGACAGCGCCCAGGCCCAGAGTTCAGGCCCATGACCAACAAAAGAAAAAAAAAAAAAGAAAACACTTGGAAACTCATCAACAGATGATAGGCTAAAGTATGGTGTCCTCACAGAATGACAACTACATGCTCATAAAAGGATAATGTCAGGTGTGGTGGTACATGCCTGTAATGCCAGCAGCTGGGAAGTTGAGGTAGGAAGATTGGGAGTTCAAACCCAGCCTGGGCTACCCTGTTGTAAAATAAATAAAAGGAAAAAGGCAAAAATCTGCACGAACTGATAAACAACAAAAATGGAAAAGAAGGCAGTGATGCTTCTGCAGGAGCAGCAGAGTGTGTGGAAGGAGGGAAGCAGTAAGAAAGTTTCTGCTTTATAGATGCCCTGGGGTGGAGGGGGGCGCGTACCTCACTCCTGCCTTGGAGAGCTGTGGATGTGACCCACAGTATCCCACACAACCTGGCTGTCCCTCACCTAGGAGCCCCCCTGGGGAGAACAAAGTGGCGTGGGCCAGAGCACTGCTGCTGTGGTGCGGGGAGCTGCAGCCCAACTACGTCCACCCCGCCTTGATGTGAGGGGGGTGGTGTGAGAGCACGCACGCTCCTTTCAGATGATGTGAAGGCTACAAAACCGAGCTCTTCAGATCCCGGCTACAAGTAGGTCAGCAATTTCTGGAAGTAAAATGTTGTTTCCTACAGTGCCTAGAACAGTCTTTACAAGGAGTACTTAGCCTTTTGACACTAGTACCGTCCCATTCACTCAGCCACCACGTGACCCTGGTCCAATCCTGCAGGGCATGCCGGGGGGAAAGGGTACCACCACCAACTGTGGGAGCAGAACAGGCTAAAGGGACACAGGCGGTATGAGGGCAAACCGGGAGGACTTCCTGGAGGCTCTTGCATGGCCTCAGAGGATGTGGCAAGCTTCCCATTGGCACAGGTGCCAAGAACGGGGAGGTACAGACTGCATTACAGGCAAAAGGACAGAGAAGGCTGAAAATGAATGTGCAAAGAGTGTGTGCTCCATTCGAGGGCCGCGGGGGGGGGGGGGGGGGGGCCTGGGTGAGTGTGAGGCCTGCAACAAAGCTTCCTTGTTTCTTGACTCTTATCACACACTGCTTCCACTGGAAACATGAAACACCTTCCCAAGGCCAGAGTTGCCGAGGTTAAGGAAGGGCTCTGCCCACGCGCTCGGCTGGCTGTGGCACCCAGAGAGCCCCACTCGGCAAGTCATTCTCACTTGGCGCAGTGAGGGATGGCGCTGCAAAGGGCAGGGAGCGTCAGGACTCAGCTCCCTCACTGCCCCTACACACACCAGACAGATGGCTGGAACTGTCCTTGTCCTGCCTGAGGGGCAAAAGAAGCCAGCTTGGGGCATCTGTGGGCTTTGGGCATGCAACAGAACGAGTTCTACGCATGAGATGCAGTCTGCGGAAGGCAGGGACCTGACTCTTGGGACTCTTAATTTTGCTAATTCGGGGGAGGGAGCTAGGGACACACACGGCATAGATCGCGTGACAGGGCAGCAGAAACTCCTGCAGCTGCCCGTTGGATCCAGATCAGGACACACTGCTTCTAGGCAGACACGCACAACCTTCCTCTTCAAACACATACTCGAGTGCGGACTTACTGTTACATAAATGTCCACTGTTTTAATACTGCTAATTAATGTACACTCAAATAAAGGGACTTAAAGAAAACCAGTGCATCTGAGGGTAAAAGCATTATCTTCCACAACTCACCCCTCCCTTCTAGGGGTCAGACTGGTTTCTGCCAGTGGGAAGGTGGCCATGGAGAACTTTCCCGTTGCTGCTCTTCAGCGATGGGGGAGATTCTCCAGGAGCCTCATGGGCAGTGCTAGCCCCAGAGAGACCACCTGGCACCCCCCCCCCCCATCTAGTCAGAGGTCCCTGAGGCCTGGCCACACTCACACAGAGCAGGAGTGGCCAGCAGAGTGCCCACCAGCCCAGCATTTGCACACACTAGCCCGTCCTTGCCTTACCACGTGCAAAGCCTACTGTGTAAGAGAGCAGTTTCTGCCAGGCTGCTCTATAGAAACAGGAAGGGTGGCACAACTCCTATTTCAGCCTCCAAACCCTCGCCCCACTTGCCCCGTCCTGTCCAGGGGAGCCCCGGGCCTCACCGGTAGGTGTCTTCTGAGTAGGTCTTCTGCACGTAGTCCTGCAGCTCCATCTGTGCCTTCTCCTGGAACTTTTCAATCTGGCTTGTGCCTGTCAAACCTGGATGGTCTATAAACAGAAAAGTCCCCTAAATTCCCCTCTGCACTTAAGTCTCAACTTCGGACTTCTTAGTTATTTCTTTTTATCAAACTCCTGACAAACTTCTCCAGTGCAACAGAGTGGGAGGCGAGAATCCCGTCAGCACTGGCTCTGCTCTACCTCCCCCAAGGCTGACCGTTTCCAGGACAGGACAGGCTCCTGAGTGGCCCCCTGGGTTGGTTCTAGAGTTTGCTTCCTATTACACTAGCAAACAGATTTTAAAATTACCTACGATTAGAAATGATTGTTTTCTGTACATTTAATTACAGTTTCTCCCAATTTTATTAGTTACTTTTGTTGTCTGTGGGTGGAAGGCAGGAGGAAGAGAAAGGCTGCGCTGTGTCTGACCCTTCTGCTGAGGACAGTGGACAGGTCAGTCTGAGTGAGAATCACTGCAGGGAGGGCGCTGAGCCAGGCCGGCCAGGTGCCGTTAGCTTCTCACCTACAAACCATGCTGCCGCCGCCTCTTTAACTGCCATGACTGCAGACTGCACCTGTCAGGGTAGCCTGTTGTACTGTTGGACCCAGAGGCTGAGTAAGCCCATGATTATGCTACCAGAACCTAGCACCTGGGTAGGGATCGAGAGGGATCGAGGACCAGAGAAGGACAGAAAAGGGAGTGTGGGCTTCCCATGTGGAGCACTCAGTGTGGACATCACGGGGCACCGCAGTGCTTTCTCCTTCAGGCTGCAAGGCAAAGATTTAACAGAAAGTTTGTGCTGCTTAGTTAGCAAAGCAGTCAGCCAGGCTCGCCGCACCCTGACGTCATGATCGTGTTCAGTACTAGCAGCAGACACAGTGAGAAAGTGTCACAAGTACCCACCGCATATCTTACCGGGGCTAAAGAGAACTATAGCTTTAAGGTATGCGTACTCGTAGCCGTCTATATCCAGCTTTGCCATGCTGTTGCAGAATTCCTGCAGCTTCCAGATGTGCTCCATGACTTGCTTGATCCGATCCCCAGAAAGTTTATCTACAATTAAGAGCACAGAGCGCTGAGACCTGACAAGCATAGTAAATCCAACTTCACTGAGGGGGCCGAGCAGGCAAGATGGGAGATGCTTCACTTTCTTTTTCCCCTCAGTGGTGGGTCTTGAACTCTAGGCAGGCCCAGAGGCTCTGTCCCTCAGCTCTTCAGCTCAAGGCGAGCGCTCTACCACGTGAGCCACAGCGCCACTTCCAGTTTTCTGGTGGTTTATTGGAGATGAGAGTCTCACAGACTTTCCTGCCTGTGCTGGCTTTGAACCGTGACCCTGAGATCTCAAGCCTCAAGTTTGGCAATGTTACTCAGTTTGCATTACTACACAATTGCACCTGCAGAGCTCTGCAGTGGTTGCAAGCACTCAGAAGTGTCAGCCATTTGTGATTGTCCCCCAAGGATGCTGCCAGCTGACTGGGAATATCTGCTTCCCATTCTTCTCACCTGAGTGCTACTGATTACAGCTTTTATGGCTACACTCTACTGAACCTGAGGAGTAAGCTGAACCTCTACTTATGGCACTCTGTTAAAGTTTTGAGAACCAGACCTCAGTTGTTTGGGACTCAACCACAGTTCATCCATTACTATGGATGGCAGAGCTCAAGCCCCAGTGCTAGCACACAAAATAAGAGCAGTCTGGCAGAAACTCAAATGCTCTGACTAGAAACAGTTCCCATGACTTCATCCAGCTTCTACTGGCCTGTGGATATGGTAGGACACTGAAGTTGCCATCTGCTATGTTGGCAGCCTTGATCAACACAGGTAAAGCTTTGGTAGAGGGTTCCAGCCAGGGCTGTACCCTGCCTGGTAGGCACAAGGCTGACCCCAGACACTCCATCCCTCGATCCCAAGCCTACCTTCCTGGATGCTGTTCTGCAGGTGGTTGACGATGGCGGCCAGGATGGTGGAGAGACTCATGACCTGGGCGCACTGGGCCAGGCCGAGGGTGAAGAGCTCGTTCCAGCAGGCTCGCACCAGGCTGGTGTTGCAGTCCTGCCTGAGGACACAAGGGAGAGGCTGAGTGTGGCGTGCGGCACTGCTCACACAGCAGCTGGCAAGGGATGTGGGGAAGACTCTTCTCCCAAAAACGGCCAGCCTAACTGTTTCCACTGAGGCTCCTCTGACCATAAACTATTCTTCCTCTTAAAAAAAGAAGAAGACTTGTGTGATGAGAAGACTGCAAAGGAAGGAATGGCCACATCCCGGTTTCTTACAGCATCCTAAGCCCTGAGCAGTGTGGCTTGGCTGTCCCATGAGCTAGGCGTCTGGGAAGGAGGGCCTACAGCCAAGTCACGAGAGGCTGCACGGATCAAAGGACGGGCTTGGCGTGGACTCAGGAACACCTGCCAACACTGGTGGGCAGGGAGCAAACAGCTGGAAGTGGACTGTGGGAACTGGACGCTACTCTACCTGCAGCCATCTCTGGGTCAAACTACTCAGGAAGGGTTAGCCTGGGGGACACAGCCATATTCTGCAAGCTGCCAGACGCAGCAGCTCTGGCTGCATCAAGCTGCCTGCCTGCCTGCAGGGAGAACTGGACGCAAGTGCTCTGCATTTTGTTAGGACCATAACCCTGACCACAAACTATAAAAGATGTATGTGCAATAGAATAAAGAGAGCTGATTATGGAATTGTAACCCATTTGTACAATTCCTTAATGACAACAGCCAGGCTCTAGTGGCTCATATCTATAATCTAGCTACTGAGGAGGCTCCAAGGATCATGATTCAAAGCCAGCCCAGGCAGGAAAGTTTATGAGACTCTTATCTCCAACTAAGCACCAAAAAACACCAGAAGTGGAGCTGTGGCTCAAGTGATAAGAGTGCTAGCCTTGAACAAATAAAGCTCAGGGACAGCACCTAGGCCCTGCGTTCAAGCCCCAGGACTGATACAGAAATAATAACAAAAAAAAAAAAAAAAGCTGAAATATGCTAGCACATTTAATCTAGACTGAGCTATGAAAACCTGTCCAAGATTCCAAATTGCTCTGATAGAACAAATCCACTTTCAGAGCAATGGTGCCTCGATGCTTAACCTCCCAGCCAACAGTCTCATTTCCCCAGTGATGCTGACCACTGCAGGCTATTACAGGAGGCCCACGTCACAGCACTGATCAGGCGGGAGAAAGTGTGGCCGCTGCTCTTAAGGGCTCATAGCAGATTTGAACTTGCAATACTTCTTTAGCAGCCACTGTCTAGTTTTCCCAGAATGCAAGGCAACTCTGCCACCTACCCTCCCTGCCCAGTACTGGGTCCTGGGCATGCTCGGAAACTTCCTACCATTTCAGCTGTGCCCCTAGCCCTTTTGTTTCTATTTTTCTTTGGGCTAGCCTCAGACTCACAATCCTACCTACCTCTGTCTCCCTAGTAGGTGGGACTAGGGGCATGTACCCCTGTAGCTGGCTTCCATTTCCCCTTTATCCGTGCTTGGAGTGTGGCGACTGCTCTATCACACAGAACATGAACCATAGCATGATCCGGCCCGCCAGCGCCACCTACCTCTCCCGAGCACTCTCAATGCAGTACTGGTAAGAGCTCTATGGACTTAACCCACTGCAAGGATTCTATGGGGAGGAAGTTGAAGGCTGTGAGAAATGAAGTGCTTGCAGACTATTCTCATGGACATACACCTGGCTCTGCCTGCCCCAAGGCGGGGCCTGGTGTCCCTCTGGTGTTTTCTGTACGCTACTGAGGGCCAACTCCCCAGTATGTCCTCAGAGTTCCAGGAGGCTGCTGTCTTCCAGCCAGGCTGAGAGCCAGCATGGCAGCTTCACTGACTAGGTGCTGGGACTGCGGGAGAAACATGACTGAAACACACAGTCACGTTCAACAAGCAAACGCAAAAGAACTTCCAGCCCAGAAGATGCTGGTCAACATGCCACTGTGGTAAGGTGCTGACACAGGAATGTCAGCTGGGCTTCCATAAAGGTTTAGGTACACCACAGTTCCCAGCTTCTGGTCTACTGAGTACATTTAACAAGACTCTCGGGGTGTTGAATGAGTCATAGGAACAGTCAACTACACGGACCCTCAGAGACCTCTGCACCACTCCCGTGCAAGGACATATGGGAGACAAAAGCCGCGTACCCGAGGGCCTGAAAGGCCGGGATGGACCGTGCCCAGTGCATGGAGAGGAACAGCAGGCGGGACGCAGACTCACAGATGTAGTGCACATTGAGGTACTCCGGCATCGGGCTGGGCATAGTCAGCTGGAAAAGAGGAGACAGGACACAGGAGGTGAAGGAGGGCCAGGGGGTGGCTCTGTCAACATTCATCCCAGTGACAGCCAGGGTCACTACCTGATTTTCAAGCCCACATGGGTCTATCCTCAGTGTAGGGCATGGCCAGACAGGAGGACGGGCAGCGCCGCATCATTTCTTGCTCAGTGACTCAGGGTTGGGAAGCCTGAGGGTGAGGCCAGCTTCCCCATTCCAAACACATCTTTGCGGCTCTGTCAATATGACCTGCCATGGCTTCTATTCCACTTCCATCCCTAGGTCTGAGTGGGAGCAGGGCACAGGATTCAACCTCACAGCTGGCAGGTGTACTTGACCACCTTAGAGGACCATGGGAGGGTGTTGAACAGGCCTATTTGCTGGAGGACGTCCTATCGTTAGGATGCCAAGGACTCCAGTGCCTTTGAAGCTGGAATCCTACTGGTGAGCAAGCAGAGACAGGAAGACCCACTCTGGACAGGAAACCAAGAGGGTCCAGTCTCTAGGAAGACAGAGTCGACTGGAAGACCTGCTAGCCCTCTCTGGTCTGCCTTCTGCAGCTCTAGGGGGCAACGTGGTCAGCACCAGTGGCTGGCTGCCTGCTTGCCAAAGAGTTCCTGCAAGGGCTTCTACCCCGTAGGAGACTAAGATGCCCTGAGCCCCTGCTGAAGCCAGGCTGCACAGGAAAGGCAGAGGCGGGGCAGCCGTCCTGGGCCCCGCTGGTGAGCACCACGGCAGCCATGTTCGCAATGACAGGCCACACTGCTGGCTTGGAAGATTTCAGAATCAAATGCAGCTGAGAGCAAGAGAAGAGTGGACATACTTCGCAATGAGAAGACTCTTTTAGCTGCCAAGAGTTTGAGAATGAGCTCACCTGTGTGCTCTAATTGCCCAGCCCCTGCCTCATGAGACTTCTTCCAGACTTCATTCAAGGACTACCACCAAGGGACAGCTGCTGCCTGCTGCCTTCACGGAGGGGCCCATATCAATGCCTTTTATCCTTAATGTCGATGCCTTTGCCAGCAGGAAGTAGCCAGAGAGACTCTGTGTCCTTTTTCATAATTGTGAAAAGGCTGGAATGTAAGGTCTGCCCTGGAAAGGTGGGGCAGACTCTTGCCTCCTCTTGGCTAAGTGCTCCGTTCAGTATCTGTGTCACCTAAGTAACTGGCACTCCTGGAGGCAGTCACCTCCCCCTCCTTCCAGGATACATCCTGGACCGCCCCTGGTCATGCCTCCCATTGGACCATGGGAGGGTCCCAGGCTCACATCACATCCACATCAACCTTCCCCTACCTAGCCACACCTTCTCTCCACCCCTTCTCTCATTAAGGCTGGGCAAAACAGCCCTCTGGTGTGTTGGACCATGTAGTCTCCACCACGCAAGGCAGGGCAGCAGTTCGGTAATTTAATAAAACTTCTATTCCTGCCTGAATACTGTGTGGTGTTCTTCATCAGCTACCTAATTAAACCTACCTATTTACCTTACAACCACAAGGTCTGAATTCAGAGAGCAGAGCAGCTGTGGCAGCACATGGCCCCCAGCAGCTGGGGCAGGCAGGGCGCACTCACTCACCTTAAATGTGACGTGCGTATCTGAGAGGAGGGGGCCCTCCACTTCAATGATGGGGGTGGACTGGTCTCTGCTGATGACGTGGATGCTCCCTCCTCCACTGGCATCAATGCCGTCTGCCAGGCTTGGTGGGGAGGAGCTGTCTGTGGTATTAAGTGCTTTAGCTAAAGTATCAAATGCCCTGTTGGCGAAAACAAAGCACATGAATAGCAAGTGAGAGAGGACAGCAGCTGCTGAGCTATCGTTTAGAAAAGCCACGTGCTGAGGAGAGGAGAATTCAATTCTCCCTGTGGAGGGAAGGCCGACCAGGGCAGCGTCAGTCATTATCATCTGAGGAACTGAGCATGCACATTTATCTTCACATGTGAGTTCTGTCTCCTTGCAGCCACCCTCTAAAGATAGAGATTTTCTCCATTTATTAGTGTGAATGCTGAGGCTTTACAATTATGTCAAATAACTTTTCCAGGGCCATCTGAATAGTAAGCAGAACAAAAATTCTGCCCTATTTGAATCCTATCCTCTTTTCTCTGGACTAAGAGCTGGGTTTTGCAGGCAGACTGCAAGTGAACAGTGAAAGTGGGCACAGGAGCCCTCGGATGGTCCTTAGGTGACTGCGTTAACTGTCTTCACAGCAAGACCCGGGGTGGCAGAAAACCACCTGATGGCCAGGGTGCACCAAAGGCAGTTCTCCGTCAACACATGTGAAGCTAGCTCTCAACTCGCCACTCAAAAAAATAGAGCAGGACACTGGTGGCTCATGTCTATCATCCTAGCTATGCAGGAAGCTGAGATCTGAGAATCGTGTTTCCAAGCCAGCCCAGACAGGAAAGTCTATGAGACTCTTATTTCCAATTAACTACCAGAAAACCAGAAGTGGAGCTGTTGCTCCAAGTGGTAGAATGCTAGCCTCAAGCAATAAAAGCTCAGGGACAGTGCCCATATCCTGAGTTTAAGACCCATAAAAAGTAGACCTGAGAAATCAGGCTAAAACAGAAGCAAGGTCTGAATCCAAAAGGTGATGAGCTATTACTATGGAGGTGCATTAAATACTGGTCAATAAAACAGAATAAACCATCTGTCCACCAAAAGTGTGTTACTTTCCTGCAGAATGAAAAGCAAGTTTTCTGCACATTTTATATCACATAATGTATGTGTGCGTGCATGCATGTATATATGTATGTACATATAAATGTACATACATATATAGCATGTGCGCACACATGTATTCACACACGTGCACACATATGTATACACATATGTGTATGAATATACACACGTGCACAAACTATATACGTGTATATACACACACACAAACACAAGTGCACAAACACAGTGTGAAGACACCCAGGTACACAGCTAGCTGAGGACTGCTTGAGGCTCCTGTTCTCACGTGCACTTGTATCTCTCTATTGCTGGTTAAAACGGAAGGAAGACAGATGTGCAGGGTCACTGTGACAACTTAACAGTCCTTGATTAAACACAAGATGTAGGGCTGGGGTCAGAGCTCACTTGTTTAGCACGTTAAGACCTGAGATTAAGTTCCAGAACCAAATGAAACAAAACATATAAACCAGATCGGTGCCAAAATGTAGTGCCTGCCACTCCTCCCCCCACTTTGTAACTGTGACTGTGTATAATGAGTCTGAGGGCCTTTATATACACCCAGGCTCTTACCGAGTAATCTCACTTGCAGACTGGTCTTCTGGCTGGATTTCTGAAGTGTCACCATTATTCAAAGATTCACTTAGGTTGGCAAGGGAGGTTACCACATTTGCCAGTGTACCCAAAGCCCCTTGGCTCGTTTCAGCCTATTAATATGAAAAATAATAACATTAATGTTGAATACATATACCACATGACTCACAGGTCTAAGGTATGAACACACAGAGGGCCCAGGGCAATAGGATCAGTTTTCTGTATCCTGGTTATGGCTGGTGTCACATAAATCACAGGTACTTAGACACAGAAAATGGATAAACTGGTCTTTGCTAATCAAAACTTCTATGCAGGAAGTGGCACTGTGGCTCAAGTGGTAGAATGCTAGCTTTGAGCTGAAGAGCACAGGGACAGTGCCCAGGCCCAGAGTTCAAGCCCCATGACTGACCAGAAAAAAAGAAAAACAAAAACTTCTTTGCACCAAAAGGTATTAAGAAAGTAGTAGCTGAGGTGCCGGTGGCTTAGCCTGTAATCCTAGCTACTCAGGAGGCTGAGAACTGAGGATCACGGTACAAGGCCAACCAAGGCAGGAAAATCTGTGAGACTCTTATCTCCAAGTAACCACCAGAAAACTGAAAGTGGCACTGTAGGCTCAAGGTGGTAGAGCACTAGCCTTGGGCAAAAAGCTCAGGGCCGTGCCCAGACCTTGAGTTCAAGCCCCATGACCAACAAAAAAAGAAAGGAGTAATAAAAGACAACTCACAAAATAGGAGACAATGTACGGAAGTCACATATGCAATGATGGCGTAGTAGCCAGAATATCTAAAAAAAAGTTCTTACAATTCAACAATAAAAAGAACTCCACTGGGGGGGAAAAAAAAAAAGAACAAAGGATAAGAAAAGACACACAGGTGGCCAATAAGCACAAGAAAGAAGTTTGGTATCACTGGCAATGCAAGTCTAAACCTGTGACTAGATCTACTTCACACCCATTGGGCGGTTATAAATCCTAAAGACAGTACCAAGCACTGGCACTGAAGTGTGAAGTAAGAGCTAAGGCATTGCTGGTGAGACTAGAAACTGAAGGAGAAAAAAGAAAAGAAAAAGAATCTGGTAGGTCCTCAAAGTTTAAATGTGAGAGGTGTCATATGACCAGCAATTCCACTCCAAGTAGAAACAATCCAAGTGCCCACAAGTTGTCGAGTGGATAGGAGAGCCATGCAATGGCATGGTGTTTGGCAAGGAAAACTAATAAACAACTAGTATGAGTGCCATCATGGGTGGACCTTAAAGATACTGAGCTCAGCGGGGCGCCGGTGGCTCATGCCTATAATCCTAGCAACTCAGGAGGCTGAGATCTGAGAATCGTGGTTCAAAGCCAGCCCGGGCAGAAAAGTACGTGAGACTCTTATCTCCAATAAACCACTTAGAAAACCTGAGTGGCGCTGTGGCTCAAATGGTAGAGTGCTTGCCTTGAGCTGAAGAGCTGAGGAACAGCACCCAGGCCCAGAGTTCAAGCCCACAACTGACAAAATAATAAAAATAAAAAATAAAAATGATACTGAGCTCAGTGGGCCACGCACTCTATGACACGTTCAGCACTTGTGAAGCCATGGGGAGAGCTGACTGATGCTTGGCAGGGAGGCCATGCTCAGTGGTGCCAGAGCTCCCTTAGAATTGAAGACATCTGGGACTTGGTGATAGTTACAAAGTTATAAAAATATACTAAAAAACACATTCTATATTTCAGGATTGATACTGTATGTGAATTGCATTTCTATTAATAAAAAGCTGAAAGCCAGAGTAAATAAACTAAGATTAGCAAACACAAATGTCAGCAAAGTGAAAACCTAAGTCCACCAGAAAGATCATAACCAGAGCACGGATGAACAAAGCATAGTAGAGTCAGAATATTGTGTCGCCGCGGTGCTGTGTAGTGCATGTGGAAGGAACTAGAGTCCAGGTCCGAGAATGGGGGAAAGACACACAGAGCAAACAGCGCATGCTTTGTGCCCTGACCTCTGGTAGCCCCGTGCTTATTCCTCAGCAAATTATTTTGAATGTAACCTTTTCAAAGGAAAAAGTTTAACTGCTTCTGAAAATAGTAACCTTTAGGGGCTACGCGTGTACTTTAGTATTGGCAGCAAACTTCGGGTGGGGATGGAGCTCCATTTCATAGAGGAGGGAAAAGCTAGGATGGGAGTCTGGTTCTGCAGCTCTTCCTTTTAAGTACTTACACACAAAATGGCTTTTCTATTCTTTCTCATGTACCAGTGACAATGACTAGTTAACTTACAGAGTATTCAGCATGTACCAAGCACTTTAAAAACCTGTTTCCTCCCAGCCCTGAAGGAATCAGAGGAGTGGAAGGAGGTTAGTGGCTCCGGGGAGCAGGGCTGGAGAGGTGTCCAGGCCCAGGGGCACAGGAGTTTTGACCTCAGTCTCAGCTTCTGCACGGATGGCTGCTGTGAATCCTTAGGACCCAGGATTGTCCTCAAGGTGATCTACCTATCTTCTCTACCCCTATCACACAAAGCCACACACCAGTAGGTCTGCTGAGGGGTAGCAGCACTCCAGATATGACCCAGAAGCCCACACCACTCATTACCATTGCTTAAAGCCCCACCTGAGGACCAACGTGGGCAGGGTAACACTCCATGCCAGCTACAGGGCTCTCAACTTAGCCTTCCTTTTCCCTAAAGAGGATGTCATCTAACACACGTAGTTGGCATGTGGATGTGTGTGTGTGTGTGTCTCGGGGAGAGCAGGTGAGACAGAGGCCTGCAGGGCAGGAGTGGTGTCCACACTGGGTTACGGAATTGCCCTCAAGCACCCCTAGGCAGCCATGGCTGGTTGCTTCTTTCCCATTACTGGGTTCCCATTACTGATGCAGCTTCAGCTGCGATAGGCCTAGCGAGGTGGGGCCAGCAAAAAAGAGAGGCTGCACTGTCACACACAAGAGGAGGAGAAGCAGGAGGAAAGAACATCACCTTGGAGTCCGCGGCCAGCAGAACAGTACCATCCTCACGTATCAAAGGCTGCTGGATGTTCACAAGCATTCCTGGATCAAGAAGACCTGTTTGTCTATTTAAGACATAAAGAAACCCAGAGTAGCTTCTAACATGTACGTATAGAACAGTCATGCTGCGCTTGCCTGTCCTTCCACATGTGCGCAGCTGCCTGCTAGGAGAGCAGCTCTAAGTGGACTCAGCCACACGGTAAGTGAGCAACCCTCCTTTCTGGGCAATGAGGTATGCACAGGGTTGGTCTAGAGCTAAGGCAGGATGGACACACGGACACTCCAGGGCTCCTACACTGTCTGTAACCATTCTGCCAAAAAAGTTACCTTGGTCTTCAGAAATTACCCTCAACTAGTTCTGTGACACGCTTTGGATTTCTGATTTCCCCTCTTTTTGTTCCTTTTAAAACAAGCTTAATAGATGACACTAAGAAGATACAAGTTAAATTAACCCATGGCACTGTCTGGGACCTGACCTCACATCCTAGTTCCTGTCTAGACTGCAGAAAAGCCCAAATCTTGAGTCCCAGACCAGCGTTTTCCTCCTTGGTGAGTGAAGCCTAACCTGGAACAGGCAGCAGTGAGACTGGGCAGCTCCAGATGCGCAACACAGGCCAGAGCTGCGGTAGTGAGGGCCGAGACACACACCCATCCTCTAAGGATCCCTGCGCTCCCCCTGGGCAGCTCTGAAGATGGATCGCAGTGCAACCTGAGACAGCGGACTGACCTTGCTCCATCTTTCTCTGCCACAAACGTGGGAGTGGCTATTAGAGGACTTCTTAGATCCTTCCGGATATAGATCTTCTCAGTTGAAGCAGCACAATTGCTTGGTTTCTCTCGTTGCACATCAAAGGGTTTCCGTTCACTCTGTACAGCTGAAAAATAACAACGTACACATTCACACTTAGCGAGAAGATTGAGATCAGAGCCCTTATGGTCAAGTATGGGCTCTCTGGTGCTAGAGCTGCCTGTCTGCCCCGTTACCACAGTGGGCGTTCCTGCCACAGGAGAGCAGGCTTCAAAGCTAGACAAGGCACCGGCAGGTGTGAAGGTACACACAGGCACTCGGAACAGCAGGTGCTGCTTGCAAAGGGATGCCCATAAAGCGCTGGCATGAGAGACCTGTGGAAGCCTACCCACAGGGAGCCCACTGGTTGTCATTTCTTCCCCCCAGCAAAACAGACTTTGTCCAGAACAAGAAATGTCCATATTCAAGGAGGTTCATCACAGAGATACAGCATGCCACAAATGGTAGAGTACCATTCCAATTTCTAATTCCAGCTAAAGTAGCTTCAGCACACTGATAGTTGTCAATCTTTATCACATTACCGATTTCTTCCTTTCTAAAAAAGTGTTGTTGGGGCTGGGAAGGTGGCTCAGTGGTAGAGCGCTTGCCTTGCATGCCAGAGGCCCTGGGTTCAATTCCTCAGCACCACATAAGCAAAAAGAAAAAAGCTGGAAGTGGCGCTGTGGCTCAAGTGGTAGAGCACTAGCCTTGAGCTGAAGAGATGAGGGACCGCGCTCATGTCCAAGAGTTCAGGCCCCATGACCGGACCCCCCCCCCCAAAAAAAAAGTAAGTTAAAAAAAAAGCGCTGTTGTTTTTTTAAAAAAAAAGAAGAGATGAAGCTTAGAGACCAAGATTCAGATAAACTGGTAATCAAATGGAAATCTAACTGGATCTTGAGTTTGAAATGCCTATGACTGCAGAAACTCCAGTCACTGCTCTGAGTAAGTATTCCCTACTAAGACAAGACAGCTTGGCACCATGGGTCTGTTCCACAACAAGCCTGTGATGTATTTATTCATTGGAGGAAGTCCAATACGACTAGATAAAACATACAACGCTGGGCTCTAGTGACTCACACCTGTATATACTAACTAATTAGGAGGCTGAGATCTGAGGATCACAGTTCAAAGCCAACCCAGGTAGGAAAGTCTATGAGAATCTTATCTCCAATTAACTACTCAGGAAAAGCTGGAAGAGAGGCTCAGGCCCTGAGTGCAAGCCCTAGGGCTGCAAAAAGAAAGAAAGAAAGAAAAAACCCAGACAGAAATTAGGGTATAATCTAAATTTCTCAAAGGACACACTTCTTCTATTTGTTCTCTAGGAACTCTGCAGCTTTCCCTTTTCAGAAGTGGCCCCACCAAGCTGGAGTTCACCGGTTTGTCTAGGGAACCTAAACTCCCGGGCTGTCAGCCTCACCACTGCATGCAGGCCCCTGCCATGGCTTGACAGAACCACTCTCCTGCACGTCCCTTTGTTGCTAGTCTTGAGGCCAGGGCTCCATGTTTTCAGCACTAGGAAGAGGACTGACCCTGACACTATCTTGTTCCTGTGAAACAGACCTAGTTTTGATCAACTCAGCCTCAGAAATCTAGCTCTGGGAGCTGAGAGGATGGACTTCAGACCTTGCCTGCTGCCCCATGCCCCGCTCCCCTCAGAGCCCTCGCTGCACTGAGGTTTGGCAGAGGACATGGACACCTAAGGACACCAGGTCAGAGAAACAAGGGTGGAAGTCTCTCATCTAACTCTGTGGAGCCCTATGTCAGCAAGGCACGGGGGATTTGGCTGTCACAGATGAAGCCGCAGAGCTGAGATAGCCCATGTTTCCCAGAACTGCCAGCTCTTCAGGATCAGGCTGGAGTATGATACACTCCCGGCAGTGTTCACCCTGTTCCCCTACGCTGCTCCTCTCCCATCCATCAGGAGAAGCATGAGGCTTGACCAAGCCCCAAGTGTAAGCTCAGAATCTCTGGGTGACCTGGAAGGAAAACCCACATGCAGCTGCATGGGTAGTTTTCGTATTTTAAGGCTAAATACAAAATCCTTACTAGAACAAGCTCTTGCTCCCTCTTCTCTCCCTTCCTACTACCTTGTATGGTGTTAACACTGCTACTCACATTCCATTTTCATGCCCATCTCTAAGCACTTTTTCAGCCGGCAAAATTGACAGCGGTTTCGGTGGTGTTTGTTGATGATGCAGTCTTGGTTGCTCCGGCAGCTGTAGGTCAAATTTTTCCTCACGCTCCTTTTAAAGAAACCTTTGCAGCCTTCACAACTGACAGCCCCATAGTGACGGCCTGCAGGGAGCAGAGTGTATGGAACAGTTCACACAAGCAGAGGAGATCTACCCCATGCCCTCTGACGACTTGTGCTCACACTGTCACAGATGGCAATAACAGCAGCTCAGCATTAAGCATAATGGCTGTGCTCACCACCTCATTTCTCCATCATCTCCCGAACAGTCTCCTGAAGTCATGATGGAGAAACAAGTCAATGGCATGACCCCCTGTCTCGTTGGGGGACCTGGCTGGATTTACAAGAGCCAAAAGTGGGCACAGGCCAGGTGCTGGGGGTTCATGTGATCCGAGGATCATGATTTGAAGCCAGCCTGGGCAGAAAAGTCAGTGAGACTCTTATTTTCAACTTTAACCACAAAAGGCCAGAAGGGAAGCTGTGGCTGAGTGGCAGTGGCAGCCTTGGCACTCAGAGGACCACGGGAGGCTCTGGGTTTCTAAGGCTGCTTTGCAATATGCTTGGTCCAACTGTTGTTCTCCTGAGCTGGTGTATACCTGGGCTTGAACTCAGGGCCGCCTGCTCTCATCTGGCTTTTTCACTCAAGGCTTGTACTCTACCTCTTGAGCCATGCCTCTACTTCCAGCCATTTGCTGATTAACTGGAGCTAAGAATTAATGGACTTTTCTGCCCAGGATGGCTTTGAGCCATGATCCTCAAATCTCAGCCTCCTGGGTAGCTAAGATTGTTTTAAAAAAACAAAAACACTATATTCAGGACAACAAAATCTCCACAATTTCTGTGAATTTCTTTGCCACAGAATAAAGAAGGTCCAAGCAGCTGCGAACTCAGGCCTGTGCCAAACATGGAGCTGTGCTGTTCCCTCATTGCTTCCAATAGCCCATGCATCTTCTCCAGTCTCCCTACACCAAACCCTTTCCATGGAGGTCCATGAGTTCTATCCTAAGGCCCTGGCTCCATTGGCCAGAATGCCCAGACTTGACATGCCAACCATAAGGCTCCCGCGGGGCCTGCCTCTGGAGGGCAGTCGTGTTGTAGCAGGGCACCACACCAGGTGTATGGGGAGGAATATGCAAAAGCCCACTTGCAGGATAGCGAAGTGTTGTGTCAGTATAAACTAGATTCTTTCTTAGTAGCACAATAAACACTACTAGACATTTCACTAAGATTTACAAATCATAGAAATTTTTTTGATTTTTCATGCTAATTCTAATAATCTAACAAACTATTTATATCACTACCCCAACAAGAAAAATGAAGTTGATGTTTGAAACCTATAAACCTCCTATGGAAAATGATCTTTCTCTGTTCACTACTGCCCACCCCCAAGTCCAGTTGCTCTGCTGGTCATGACACACCCGAGCCCAGGCTGAGGTGGCATACCAGAGGCTTTGTCGCCGCACACCACACAGTACTCCACCACCTGGGGCCGCTGGACGTCTGTCTTCCCCAACAAACGCTCCACAGAAGCAGAATCTGTGACGATCTAAGGGAAACCAGCAGAATATCATCAAAACAGAGTATCAATCAAAACCTAGCTCTGCTAAAGTCAAGTTTCATTGTAAGTTTGTAGTCTTGAGTTTCTAAACAGAAAATCAGGGAAATGGAAAACCCCAGCTGACAGTTCCACTGACAACCATGGCCTTGCCGCTTTGCCCTTCAGTGGGGTCTTCAGCAATTCCATCTAGCTCCCCTCCCATGACTGGGACCACGTAAAGATCACACACATGCTCCGAAATGAAGACATGTAAGTTCTTCTAGCTATCTCTCTGGTCCCATCAAACACCTATAGTGTGCAAAGGGGCTTCTCTGTCAGAGAAATAACCAGGCTTTAGTAAATACGTCTCTAGTTGAGGCCCTTGAGTGGAAGGACCACAATACATACCCTGCTGTTTGCCATCACCTGTACATGACCTTCTGGGTGACAAGCAGTGCTGCCCATATCAAAATGAGTGAAGAACAACTTATTTAAAAACATACTCAGAAAGGGCACAGATTGCTCAGGCTTGTAATCCTAGCTATTCAGGAGGTTGAGATCTGAAGATCAAGGTTCAAAGCTAGTCCAGGCAGTAAACTATGCCAAACTAGTCTTCAATTCTTAACTACCCAACAGCACCCAGACCCTGAGTTCAAGCCCCAGGACCAGCAAAAGGGGGGGGGGGGAAGTACTTAGTTTGAGCACATGATAAGCCTTCAAAATGATTCATGCTTGTTGGACCCACATAAATAAAACACTGTGGAACATTGATACTAGCAGCCTTCATAAGCCAGGAGGGCCCTGGATGGGTAAGGCTCGGCTTATGAAGCGCAGTACGAGATATCTCAAAAATGTAGTTTTGGGTGCAGTGGTTCATGCCTGAAATCCCAGCTCAAGTGGTAGGATTCCAAGCCTAGCAAGCTCAGAGTTTAAATTAAACCCTGGTACTAGAGAGAGAGAAAAAATGTACAGTTTTGAAAGCTGAACAGGTGAAAACAAGGCACAGTCATACATGCCTGTAACCCCACCACTAAGGAGGACTGCAAGCTCGAGCCTTCCTGGGTCACCAAGACTTTGTCTTAAAAGAAAGAGAACTAAAATGTAGTATATGGGTAAAATGAAGTATTATTCAACTTTTAAAAGGGAGAAAATCCTGAGATGACAACATGGATGAATCTTGTCGACACTGTTAGGTGAAATAAGCTAGTCACAAAAGACAAAACTATTTGATTCCCATTCCACGCAATGGCCGTCTGCCAGAGGCCAGAGGGAGGGAGATGAGAAGACTCTTTCTTCAGCTGGTAGAGAAAAGTACTTCCGAAGAGCCTTCATCGTGGAGCACTGTGTGTGCATTCTTCATAACTTGTTTAAACAAGTTACAGAGATGAGTACACTTAATGCTACCAACTCCTCTAAAACTAGTTAATATCGCAATTTTATATGACACACAGTTAACCAAAAACTATAAAAAAAATTTAAAGCAAACAGGGACTCAACTTTGACCTGACAAAACGAGCTCCCTGGGACAGTGGTCGTAGGTCTCTGTCCTCTGGCTTTTGGGTTTAGAAATTGACTGCCTCCCCACCTCACACTGAACAGCAGCCTTGCTTTGCTTCCGTATCCTCTCTTCATGCAGATGGACCTGCCTTGCCAAAGGGAGCTGCGGGGAGACAGAAAGGCAGTTCACGGGAGCAAGTAAGACCAGAAGGAAGGGCCAGGACCAAGCCTGCAATCTGGAAAAGAGCTAGATCAACCAGCATGGGCTAAGGGCTGCCACCATAGAGCTTTCATTAAGAACAATTACCCTGTGGCCTTTGTTTTTGCCTGTAGGCTGCTGTTCCTTCCTCAACTTGTAACCTTCTGAACATCCCTGCTGATTATCTTCTGGGTCTAGCCAACTCATTAGCTAGAGTTTTACTTTAGTCAAAACAGCATCCTACCATATTTGCAGGCTCCCAAAGGACCTTCCAGGGATGGACCTGGCTACACAGGTAGGGAGAAAAACAAGTTAGGAGTAAGTCAGGAACCCAAGTGCTGAGACAGGCACCATTTGATGGCCTTACCTGAATTCTGCCGGGAACAAGGTTGTCAGAGGTGGTGAATATGAGCTGCTTGGCACTGGACGTCTCCGGAGAAGCCAGGATCACCTTCCCAGCTCCAGCTCCATCTGGGCTGGTCAGAATGAACTGTTGTTTGGAAGACCCGGAGGCGTCCACTGCGGTTACTATCTGGATCTTCTGTCCTGTCTGCTGGTCTGTCACAATCTGTAAGACACCACACAGAGGAGTGTGAGACCCTTGCACTTGTACACAGTGCTGAAGAGCCATGACTACCAAATGACATCCTTGAGCTGATGTTGGTTTACCCGCATAAGCTGGTAAAAAAAACACAAGAGTAAACTTTTTAGGAATGAATTTTTATAATACTTGTTTTACTCTAAGTTTCTATCTTTGCTATTTTCAGTAATGCTTTCCTTTCATTCCACTTTTTCTGTTAATAGTCATATGAAACCAACCACACTAATGTATCACTTAATAAAGCAAACGTTCTATGAAATCCGTCACTGGGTGATTTCTGTGCACACATAGTCCTCGCACAAATTAAGAAAGCTACACCACTAGGCAATAATCTCAAGAGACCATTGTAGCATGTGTGGTTCACAGCTGACTGAAGCACTTAACATGGTGCAAGACCGTAAAACCAAGGAAAGACGAGGCTAGTCATTCCTTTGCCCACAGTATATGAGGAGCCAAGACTTCTCCTTCATGTGAGCCCCAGTCCTTGTGGTCGAGGCCCTGCAGGTAAGAACTCAAGCAGGAGCGGGAGGGAGGACAGACCAGATCTAGACACAGGCATGCAGTCTTGCCTGTGTCTAGATTATTCTTTATTCTCCAAGGACACAAGCTTATAAAATTCAACCAATCATAATTATTAGTTACTTGTATTCTCCCTTTTCCTTAGATATCCTATTTAAGGAGATTACGTCTATAAATACACTAAAATTGAAGGCAGGAGAAGAATATCACTCCCCCTTACTAAAATCACCCTCCAGGAACCACATGGCGAGCACTCATAGCAGACTCTTTTTTAATGAGGTGGGGAGGACACGGCCAATCCCATTAAAAGTTCAGTCCCCTGGAGGTGGAAAAGAGTGACTGTAAGAACTATATCCCCTCAAGAGACTTACAAGTCTGAATGCTCCAGTTCTGTGTCTGTGACTTTATTTGGAAACAGGGCACTGGCAGATGTAACCAAGGTGGGATCACCAGATTACAGTCAGTGAGTACACCTCCCACCAGCACCCCCACTCCATTATACCTGATGCCTGTGGGGTTGATGGGGAGAAGTGGCTACAGGCAAGTAAGGAATGCTAACAGCTGTCCATACATATGCAAGCTAGGAACAATGTTTTTGAGAACCTAGACAGGGCCCAGCCCTGAAACACCTTGTTTTTAGACATCATTTCACCTTCGGAACTATGAAAGGAAGCTCTTCTATTGTTTTAAGTTGTTAAGTCTGAGGAACTTGCTATGGCAGATGTAGGAAACACATACAAGAGGTAAGTTTGACTTTCTTGGAACAAATGTTTACCTGCTCTGAACAGGGAGAACACTGGTTGCCAAAAGTTGGCTTTGTCCCAATGTGATAAATCTAAACCTTGAGTTTCTTTTTTATGTACTATTTCTTCAGTGAGGAGCTCTAGATGAAGACAGAATGGAGTCCTGAGCTTGGCTGTGAGTCAAGCTGTACCCACCTGTTGGCGTTTTAGGAACAACGTTTTGCTATAGAAATATGAAATGGTATGGCACGATGCGTGTGACTGCAAGGATAAACAAATGTGGTCTGTACACAAAATGGACTACTACACAGCCAAAACGCTGCTAAGCCAAAGAAGAAAGAAACCAAGTCACACATTGTGAGTAGGCCCAGCAAGGATGGAGCCAGGACAGCCTGTCAGAAGTCTGACCAAGGAGAGTGGTACTGTGTGGGGCTCCAGAGCCAGGAGCACTGATCAGGACTTACTGTAGTCTGTGCGGGTCTGTGGACCTGGAAGACACAGCAGAGATGTGTACCTAAAAGTGGCACTCTTTGACCACTGGGGCAAGGAAAAGGACAGAGTAGGGAGGCTGAAGGGTAGCTACTCGGAAGGTCAGAGCTCTGCACAGGGGAGCCTGGACTGTTGAGTCTACATGCCACCAGGCTATGCCTCTGCACTAAGAAGATGGTGAGAAGATTCCAGCAACCCTCTTACTGCTTTAAATGGCCAACTGCAGCCTAACCTACCCTTTGCTTATATGCAAAGGATGTGTGTTTCCCTGTCTCCATCCAGTAGAATGTCTGCCCTAGGAGGGCAGGGCTAACCTCTGCAGTGTCTCTATGATGATATTCAGTGTGCACGGGCCAAGCTGAGGGGACAGAGCTAGGCCTAGAGCCAAAACCTTCTAAGCAGGCAGTACCTTAACCAGAAGAAGCTGTCAGTTTCTGAAAAGCTCTGTGTGTGTGTGTGTACACACTAGCACTAGAGTTTGAACTCTAGGCCTTGCACTCTTACTTGGCTTTTTTTGTTCACAGCTAACATTCTCCCTCCATTTTTTTCACCCAAGGCTGGTGCTCTATCATTTGAGCCACACCCCTAGTTCCACTTTTTGCTGATAAATTGGAGATAAGAGTCTCTTGAGATTGTCTGCCCAGGCAGACAATTGAACCTCAATCCTCAGATTGTGGTAACTAAGCTCCTACTTCTCCCTAGCTTGTCCAGGCTCCTCCTTACCTTCTGTCTCAGGACCCATCTGTCCCCAGAGTCCATCTGCTTCTGCCATTCCATTCAATGGCCACACAACATAAGATGTTGTGGCACAGAATACTGGCCTCTCCAGACCTCCTGCCTACTCCCCCAAAACAAAAGTCAGATTTTGTGTTGCCATTTATATAGAATTCCGTAAGACAAAATGGTCGTTTCTAGGGAGCCAGGGAAATGGCAATATTTTGGAGCTAGATATAGGTTGTGGTTGTAAATTGCAAATCTACTAAATACTACAAACTGTACTTCAAAATGGTTTACATTCTGTATTTCACTAAAATTAGGTGTCATTTATAGATGGGACTTAAGAGTAGTTAAAAATGTATATAATAAACTACAGGGTACAAATGAAAACATTTTTTTTTTTTTTTGGTTGTGGTGGGGCTTGAACTCTGAGCTTGGGCGCTGTCCCTGCACTGTTCAGCTCAAGGCAAGCGCTCTACCGCTTGAGCCACAGCATCCCTTCCACAAATGAAAACATTTTAAAAGAAGCATATATATTTTTTTGGGGGGGGGGTCAGTTGTGGGGCTTGATCTCTGGGCCTGAGCGCTGTCCCGCAGCTCTTCAGCTCAAGCCTAGTGCTCTACCATGAACTACAGCACCACTTCCAGTTTTCTGGTGGTTTATTGGAGATAAGAGTTTCATGGACTTTCCTGCCCATTCTGGCTTTGAATTGCAATCCTCAGATCTCAGCTTCCTGGGTAGCTAGGATTATGGGCATGAGCCACCGGTGCCGGCCAAGTCAAAATGTTTTTTTTAAGACAGTTGCCAGTGGCTCACACCTGTGGCTCACGCCTGTAATCCTGGCTACTCAGGAGGCTGAGATCTGAGGATCACAGTTCAAAGCCAAGCCAGGGCAGGAAAGCCCATGGGAGTCTTATTTCCTGAGTAGCCAGGATTACAGGCATAAGCCACAGGCCTGAGCCACTGGCAACTGTCTTAAAAGAAACATTTTGACTTGGCCGGGTGCCGATGGTTCATGCCCATAATCCTAGCTACTCAGGAGGCTAAGATCTGAGGATCGTGGTTCAAAGCCAGAATGGGCAGGAAAGTCTGTAAAACTCATCTCCAATAAACCACCAGAAAACTGGAAGTGGCACTGTAGCTCAAGTGGTAGAGCGCTAGCCTTGAACTGAAGAGCTGAGAGACAACACCCAAGCCCAGAGTTCAAGCCTCAGGACCTACAACAAAAAAGAAACATTTTGACTATACCACAAGACGAGATAAAGAGAATCACAAAAGTAAAAAGCTCAGTCAATACCAGAGAGAGCTGAAAGAAAAGCCTTTGATGGAAAGAGTCACAAATTGGTGATATTAATCCAAATATATCAATCACCATTTTCTTTTTTCTTATTTTTTTAGGTCCAAGACCAGAACTCGAACTCAGTACCTGATGCTTTCACTCATTGGCTAGCTCTCTACCTACCAACTGAGCCACTCCTCCAACCTCTCAATCATCACGTTAAATGTGAAAAAGCTATGTATAGACATTAAAAGACAGAGGTTACTAGTTAGATGACAAAAAAAAGACCTAAATTATATTGCCTAGAGAAAGCCCATAGATAAAAGACAGAAGATTAAAGGGATGAAGAAAGATGAGCCATGTAAACATCAATCAAAAGAAAGGTGAAAGATCAGGTACACTGGCTCATAATGCCTGTTATCCCAGCTACCTGAGGGGCAGAGTGAGGAGGACAGCTAGGCAAAAAAGGTAGCATACCCTCTCTCAAAGAACAAACTAGGTGTGGGTTCAAGAGAAAGAGAGATATCTAATTTACACTATATAGAACTAGTGCCAGATAGTTACTAATAGTTACTACTGTTAAGATGCATAGACTATTGATGCCTGTGTAAGAAAGTATATATGTGTATGCTTCCAGACTTACAAGCAAAGCCCTTCTCTGAAATAAGCAACATAGTGATAGTGACCCCTTGTGGGATGAGGGGAGACCCGTTTTTCCACTGCCTCACTTGCTGTAAATTTTGTTACAGCATGTATATACTGCCCATTCAGTTCACACAGATAAGTATCAATTCCTCTGATTCTTGGGAGACATCACTGGACTATTAAGAGAAAAGAAACATTATCAACTTGGAGACATGGAAAGAGTAAAAAACTTCTGAAACAAGCAATTCAAAGAAATTACCCAGTGACCCTTATTACACTTTTACAACTTAAACTCTGGAAAGGTTTTCAACTATATTTATTATACATAAAACCTAAAAGGTTATCTTTCCTTAATGTGAGAGCTTAATCCTAAGGACTTGGGTTACAAGAGCTGTGTTCAAGGGATCTCTGCACTCCAGCAGGACAGCTGTGAGTGCCATGCATAGAACAGCCCTAGCGGATAGATAAAATGGGGTAGTAGAATGGCCCCTAGGGAAACAGAATTCTTATGATACAAAGGAATGTGTATTCTCTCCGGAAATACACAGTAGAAAATCTAGTGACTAAATACCAAGAGTCTCCCATGGCAACCACTGGGTCCTTGTCTGCAATCATAACCTGCCTGTCTGGTGGCTTATGTTGTGATTCTAGCTACTTGAGAAGTACAGATTGGAAGGATCAGGATCTAAGGTTAGTCCTAGGCAAAAACATGAGACCCTACTTTAAAAAAAAAATCACTAAAAGCAAAAACGGGTCGAGGCACGTCTCAAGTGGTAGAGTACCTTCCTAGCAAGCGCGAAGGCCTGAATTCAGATCCCAGTATGTGAGTAAAAAAAGTGGAGGGAAAAGGAAATAATTTTACTAATGGATAGGATTATCTACAAAGCAAGCTCCTTTCCAAGGCTGGAAGTGTTATGTAATCAGCATCCTAACACCTACCACACACAACCACACAGGACCTACTTTCAACTCATTAGGAAATAGGAACAAAGTAGGCAAAGACAGCCAAGATGGCCGAGATGGCCTGAAGTGGTGCTCCTCATGGCATGTGTCCATGCATATGTTCTCTGACATCTTCTTTTCTAATAAATAAACTGCTATCAGCTTTACTTAACAAAGAAAAAAATAACAGCTTTATAATGATCCTCATTTGGGAGAATGGTAAAAGCTCATTAATGTTTTCTCAAATTTCACACATTTAAAAACATGTTATTTTTGAACTGGAGTAAAGTTAAAACAATAACAACTACATGACTTCTGCATTATGTGTATGTGTGTGTGTGTGTGTGTGTGTGTGTGTGTGTGATATGCAGGAAACAACTTTAAAAACTCGTTTCATTTTACTTGTTAGAAGTCTTCTAGCTTGTGTGTGTGTGTGTGTGTGTGTGTGTGTGTGTGTGTGTGTGTGTGTGTGTGTGTGTGTGTGTGTGTGTGAGAGATATGCAGGAAACAACTTTAAAAACTCATTTCATTTTACTTGTTAGAAGTCTTCTAGCTTTAGGATAGTCCAAAAAAAGTATCAGATACTTTATTTTCTAGTAACTACATAACGGTTCACTCATACTTCACTTAGATTAACTAAATAAAGGCAATCTTGTTATTTATTGCCTGGATGCCTCTCTTCCTGGTTATACTTCATACTTGTGCTATGTAACTAATTTTCTTTTTCTGCTGTTCATCTTCGTTCATGTCTTTTGGCTTCGCCGTAGAATGAGCTTGCTCTAGTAAAAGTGAGTCTCTGAGCTTTCATCGTATTTTTCCTTTCCCTCACTGTGTAGCCCACAAGTTTAATGTACATGACATTTCCTTGTTCAAAAGGGTAGAAAAGGGCTGGGAAGATGGCTTAATGGTAGAGCGCTTGCCTTGCATGCATGAGGCTCTGGGTTCAATTCCTCAGCACCACATAAGTAAAAAGAAAAAAGCCGGAAGTGGCGCTGTGGCTCAAGTGATAGAGCGCTAGCCTTGAGCTGAAGAGCTGAGGGACAGCGCCCAGGCCCAGAGTTCAGGCCCCACGACTGGACCCAAAAAATAAATAAATAAATAAATAAAATAATATGTGGTTTCTCAGTTTGAAAGCAAAGTAAGGGATAAAATAGAACTTCATCCCAATAGTTTGGAGCAACAGTTAGACTGCTGCTTTGAAATTGTTAGTTAAATTTTTAAAATAAGCAAGATTGTACTAGACTTGATTCCGACAGGCGCAGCTCCTTAGTGAAGCCCTTAGGCACATTGTTTTTTAACAGATGGAGGGAAGGCAGGGCATGTGGCCAGAACGCAGCAAGACTGGCACGGGCACCTGAATGCGCTGAGGTGAGGCTACCGCAGAGTCGGTGGAGATGATCTGGATGCGTGGGGAGGGGCTGGTCATCCCTGGAGATTCCGGCCGAAGGGTCTGCGTATGTGGTACCTGTGGGTGAGATCAAAAGGGTCAGAAAGATGTCCAGTGGAGCCTGAGAACTGTCTCTTCTTGCTATGGCCTTGTACAATTCTGAGTTATTAACCCAGCATGACAAAGGATCAGTGAGATATTAACATAAAGTGGCTCCAGAAAATAGCATCTTAAAATAGCTGTTTCTAATGTGGAAAATACAAGGATAAACCAAAGGAATTTTCACTTCTGCTCTGCACAATTTTTTTTTTTTTTTTTGGGTACGGTCGTGGGGCCTGAACTCTGGGCCTGGGCGCTGTCCCTCAGCTCTTCAGCTCAAGGCTAGCGCTCTACCACTTGAGCCACAGCGCCACTTCCGGGTTTTTTCTTTTTGCTTATGTGGTGCTGAGGAATCGAACCCAGGGCCTCAGGCATGCAAGGCAAGCGCTTTACCACTGAGCCAACTTCCCAGCCCCCAATTTAATTTTTTTTAAGTTACCAAAATAACTTCTTAGAAACTTTGAAAATTTTCACTACTTTCAAAGCCAGCTGTAAAACTCTTTTAGATGACTTTCCAGAGAAAGGCTCTCATAGCAATGCAGGAGGGACAAACAGAACCTGCAAGACACTGAAAACTACTGGGATCACAGCATTTCATAACATTAGGAAGCCTCAGTCCCAAAGGGATGGAGCTGGGAAAGCAAAGGCAAGGTTCAAAGTGCTGAGTTGTCACCTGGGTATTGAAGTAAGAAGATATCAGCTTCCTTGATTAAAAGTATGTCATGAACTAATACCCTACATAGTTCCAAAATACAGGAGACAACATTTCCTAATTCATTCTATGAGGTCAGTATTAGCCAACACCAAAATCAAGATCCAATAAGAAAATGATAGACCAGTATCTCTTAGGAATACAATGTTAAAAATCCTCAATATGTAATCCCAGCTACTTGGAAGGTAGAGATCTGGATGACTATGCTTAGAGGCCAGAACAGGCAAAGTTATTTAGCAAGATCTGTTTCTCAACAAACAAGCCAGACATGGTGCGCATCAATAACCCAAGCTACATGAGAGATGTAAGTCCAAAGGTGGTTCTAGGCAAAGGCAAGACCTTATCTGCAAAATAAAAACAAAAAGGCTGGGGATATGGCACATGTGGCAGAGTACCTGCCTAGAAAATGTGAGGGCCTGAGCTCAAACCCCAATACTACAAGAAAACAAAACTTACAAAAGACAGCAAACCATATCCAGGAACATTTAAAAGATTATACACTGTGACTAAGTGGGGTTTGTCTCAAGGCTAGCAAGATGCTAGTGGCTCACACCTGTTATCCTAGCTACTCAGGAGGCTGAGATCTAAAGATCATGGTTTGAAGCCAGCCAGGCAGGAAAGTCTGTGAGATACTTATCTCCAATAATTATTCAGAAAAGGCCAGAAGTAGTGCTGTGGCTCAAGTGGTAAAGTGCTAGCCTTGAGCAAAGGCTCATAGACAGCACCAGGACCTGAGCTCAAGGCTCACGACATACAAAAAAAAATAGATAAAAATGCAGATGGTTCAACATATGTAAATCAATATAGTACATCATATTAAAAAAAGTAAAGGACAAGAGACCACATGATCATCTCAATTGACAGAGAAAGCCTTTGAGAAAATCTAATACCCTTTCACAATCAAAACTCAACGAAGTAGGAACAGAAGGAAAGTTTGCAACCTGGCAAAAGACTAAAAGTTTCCCCCTGAGATGAGAAGCAAGATAAGGATGCTGGCTTTCATCACTCGCACAAAACATTGACGTAGAGGCCACAAGCAAGGTATTAGGGGGAAATAAGGCAAAGTAGGTATGCATCCTGACTGGGAAAGAGGAACTAAAACTCTATCTGTAAATTAAATAATCTTATATATAGAAAATCAGTCCACCCTCCTCACCCCCCCAAAAAAAAAATCTACTGAGAGCTAGTAAATGAATTCCAAGGTTACAGGGTACAAGATCAATGTAGAACAGTCAACTGTAGCTGTAATGTTACAAATGAATGATTTGAAAATAAAACTAAGGAAACAATCTCAAAAAGAGCAAAATATTTAGAAATAGTTTAAGTATAAGATAATAAATATAAGATTTGTAATGAAAACTATAAAAGATTGTTAGAATTGTAAAACAGCTTAAATAAACTGTCTTGGGCTGGGCACCAGTGGCTCACGCCTGTAATACTAGCCACTCAGGAGGCTGAGATCCGAGGACTGTGGTTCAAAGCCAGCCTGGGCAGGACAGTCTGTGAGACTATCTCCAAATAACCACCAGAAAACAGGAAGTGGCACTGTGGCTCAAAGTGGCATGGCTCAACGCACTAGTCTTGAGAGATAAAGCTCAGGGACAGTACCCAGTCCCTGAGGCTCAAGCCCCATGACCGATCCAAAAAATAAAAAAAAAAATCTGTGTGCATAGACCAGAAGATTTAAGACTGGTAAGATGGCAATCCTCCGCAAACTGACTTACAGATTCACTACAATTCCTAGGAAATTCCAGACGCTTTTCTTGTATAAACTGACCAGAAGATGCTAAAATTCACATGGAACTGCAAGCGACCCAAAGAGCCAGACCATGAAAAGAAAAAGTTGCCTCTTCATTTCAAATACTACAAACCGGATCTAGCTAATCTCTCTTCTGGGGATTCACCCAAAAGATCTGAAATCTGAAGAGATGTTCAGTATAGCATTAGCCAAGGTAGCCAAGTTACATAACCAACCTAAGGGTCCATCAATGGATGGAGGAAATGTAGTACATATATACAATGGCGTGCATCAATAACAAAGGTCTGCCCTTTATGACAACATGGATGGAATTGGAGAACATTTGCTAAGTGAAATATGCCATGGACAGAAGCATAATTACTGCATGTCCTCATTCACATGTGGAATCTAAAACAATCAACCTTACAGAGGCAGAGAAGAATGGGCCTCAGGTTCACTAGGCAAGCACGACCCACACCATAGTCCTTCTTGTTCTTTTTTTTTTTGTTTGCCTTCCTTCTCCTTCCTTTTCTTTTCCCTTTCCTCCTCTTCCTTTTAGATTTTTCAAATAGGGTACTGCTCTTGCTTGGAGCTACACTTGGCTCCAATTCTCCTATCTCCAATTCCCACGTGATGGGAATTAAAGGTATGAACTACCATGCACAGGTTTGTTGTTGAGTTTTTTTTTTAGATCAATTACATAGTATGATAAATATGGTTAATAATTGCATATTGTCATGTTTTCAAAGTTGCCAAGAAAGTAAGTTTCAAATTATATCACAAAAATGATATTTGAAATGATGGACACATTAAGTAACTTGACGTGTTTATTCCATTTTGCATTCGTAAATCCTAACATCACCTTGTACCTCATAAATGCAAAATGTTATAAACTGTTAGCCAGGTGCCAGTGACTCACACCTTTAATTCTACTCAGGAGGCTGAGGATCTGAGGATCATGGTTCAAAACCAGCTTGGGCAGGAAAGTTCATGAGACTCTTATCTCCAATTAACTACCAAAAAAAAAAGCCAGAAGTGGAACTCTGGGTCAAGTGGTAGAGTATTAGCCTTGAGCACAAAGAGGCTCAGGGATAGCACCTAGGCCCTGAGTTCAAGCCCTAGGACTGGCACCAAAAAAAGTTTAAAAATAAACTGTCAGGGGCTGGGAAGGTGGCTCAGTGTTAGAGCGCTTGCCTTGCATGCTCGAGGCCCTGGGTTCGATTCCTCAGTACCACATAAGCAAAAAGAAAAAAGCCGGAAGTGGTGCTGTGGCTCAAGTGGTAGAGCTCTAGCCTTGAGCTGAAGAGCTGAGGGACAGCGCCTAGGCCCAGAGTTCAGGCCCCACGACTGGACCCAAAAAAATAAATAAATAAATAAATAAACTGTCAATTTATAACAACAACAACAACAACCCCAGTATGGTATTGGTATAAAGACAGATAAACAGACCAATGGAATTGAGAACCCAGAAATAACTCTCACATATATGTTCAAATGATTTTGCCAAGACAATCCGATTTGTTAGCCATTAAGACACTACCTGTGGTTGCGGAATTGTGAAGGAAGTGCAGGGGAGGAGCTGGACTTTAGTAACTGTTATATGCCTCAGAATGGTCTTGTTTCAAAAAAAAAAAAAGTCTTCAGAGAAACATACAAGAAACCAGCCCAAATCTCGAAGGCATACTGACTTGCCCTTTTCAGGGTAAACTTTGTCCATTATAATACTACAGTCTCCACTCAGGGTCATTCCTATGTAACATTGTTTTAAACACAGTATGTATGAAGAAACATGGTGGCATGTGCTTGAAATCCCAGTGAAGTGGGAGGAATAGGATTTAGGCAAAAATTGGAAAAGTTAAGCAGGCTGAGGGCAGGGCTCGAGTAGTAGAGTGTCCTGACTATCAAATCCAAGCCCCGGAGTTCAAATGCTAGTACTGCCAAGACAACAACTGCCCAGTGAATATATTAGCTTAGGGAAGGCACAAGGTCTATATTATATATAAGCTTTGAACCCAGGACTCTGCAGAGATCTGCTCTGAGATCTCTACTCCTGTCTGTCTGCTAACTAGCCATTCTCTAGGTATAGATTAGCACTTAACACTAGCTCCCTGTGAAGTTCCCTGCAATGGAAAATGGAGCATTCTCACGCTGGGCCGGGAACACAGGCAACTTCTCCATTCCATCACAGCACTCCACTGCCTACATACAGGTATTTACTGAAAGATGAGCATCTGGTGAGAGGATGATGCTCATATTAACAGTTAATGTGCAAATTCTACAGTTTATTCTACTATTTATTCTTAAGTTTTGGTTGTAACAGTCCCATAGGTTATTAATTAAGCAACAGAGTCCAAACAGTGTTTAGAAAACAGCATGCAGACCTAATAAGTTACAAACCTCAACCAGGAACTTCCGACTTCTCCCTAACACTCCCCCAAGGAAAACAATGAACAATGAAAATGTCTAAGTGGGATAAGGGTTTCTGTCCGGGGATGTCTTCAGCCTGCACTGAAATCTATTACATCCTTC